TTCTTGTCAGTGTTAGTAGCTAATCCCATTCTTTGTGCAGCAGCGATAACACAACTTTGAAGCTGCTTTGCATCCGAAGTGCGTTCAATCTTTCTGCAGAATTTCAAATCCGAAATTAACAACATTCGAAGCTGCTTCGGAGCAAATCCGTGTTGCACAGGTTTAAGCTTTTGCACAAGCTTGCTGATGTCGGCTTTGTTAGGCTGGAATGCTGTCTCATTTGCAACACCACCAGACATCGCATGGCTCATATCATCATCGGAGAATGGCTCAATTGGGTCCGCTGATATAACCCAAATTAATGATCGACTATGATTGAACCCGAACATTCCTTCGGCATCAAACTCGGATCTGTCATAGCAATCGGCAACGCTGAAATTACTGCCTTGTGACGCATAGGAGTTACGACTCTGCAAGGAAATATCCGAAATACAAGGAGATCCAATCCTAGACCCAATCGCATTCTCACTCAAACCCAAGTCTCTAATCGCATAGTGGCTGCTGCCAGCTTGGGACGTCCTGATCGGTGAATGATGCTTGCGTTTTCGGGATGAGGTTATGCCATGCTCCCTGCTTTCATCGTCTTCGTTGTCGGACTTGTTGTTGTATTGTTGCATAGACTCATTAGATGTGTCTATTTCTGTTGCAGCAATACTCTCAGAGCAATGTTCAATGTCACTAATGTCGGAATCAAAGATTTCGGGCCATGTGTGAGTGGTGTCTGCCGCCTCGCCTTCAATCTCACTTTTAAGTGAAGAAAGATCCCAAACCAACGATTCCGAATCAGAGGCACGAACATACTCATCACTATCAGTTGCATCGTGATCGTGGTCTCCTGCTTCGACCAGATATCCTCGGATGGAGGTGGGTTTACTGTAAATAGGTTTACCAAGCCGCATACCCATTAATTCACTATCAACCCAGTGATGGGCTCGATCAGGAACTGAAAAACCCAGCTGTGTCAACTGACGTCTAAGATTAGACTTGCAAGCATTAATCCTTTTTATTGGTGCCGTGAAAAGAACCGCAATGATTCGATTGCCCTTCCACTCACATGTTGCATGAGGAATTTTGAAAGTGGGGACATCCACAGTGCATCCAATCGGAATTGGAACTTTGAATCCCCGATGCTCTCCAACGAAGTCTATTCCCCAAGCGCTGATTTGAGGAATATTTCACCCTCTTCATACTGAGTTATTGAAGTAAGAAAAGCCGGTAGCTTTTCATTACGGGCATCAGTGTGCAAAGCTGTTTTCAAGTTTTTGTTGACAACAATGGTGGATCCATAAGCCTCATTGTTGCAAAGCTTAAAGTACTGCGTGAAGACTTTGGTGAAATTGGGGAGGGTTCTAGTAGTCTTGGAAACAGACAATCTAGCAGCGCCTAAAGTCACTTGAAGACCATTCCCAACCTTTTGCCAGGGAACATCCGGATGGTCAAGCAGTAATCTAATATTGTCAAGCGTAACACAATTCGCGATCAGTATGTTACGAGCTTGATCCTCAAGCGTTGGTGCATCGCATTCCGAAGGATGACAACTCTCAATAACCCCCTCCAAATCATTACCCACTCTATGGGAGCTCATCATCCCTCCTGAAAGAACCTGATGTCCTGACTGCAACGTCTTTAGCACAAGCAAAACCATAGGAAATCGCAACCATCGAAGCCAAGAACTGCTCCGCGCCGTGCTTGTTTGCTTAACTGCTTGCCTGTAACATTTTTGATTGGCGTAATTTTGCTTGTCATCTGGCACATGTTGCTTGTACTGAAGGATGCTTGACTTGCAATTTTTTGTATGACGAAGGCTCGAGACCACCTTCGCATCAGCGGTAACAGCAGAGGCAGATGCATCGGGCCGTTCTCGATCTTCATGCCTTGGATGAAAGAACTGATTTTCTGCTGATGTACATTTTTGTGCTGGTTTTTTGTAACTGTTGTGTATGCCCGAATGGCATTTGTCGCAATTTGCAAATTTTGACTGCCACATGCTACTCAACTTTCGAAAGACACCCGAAAGCCAAAAGAGCAAACCGAATCTATCAACCCTATCAAATGCACGATTTAGCATCGGCCACCGCCAAACATCATTGGATAGTGCGAATGAATAACCGTGATCAACAACTCCGTCGCTCCTTGGATGGATGTTGCGTGTCGACCCTGTATTTTCTATTTTTTGATTGTGCTGGCAGTTGTTAGGCTTTGCATAGAGAGGATTCTCCGGGATCGTTCGTGCTGGGCAATTTTCGGCACACCTGATTTGGGCAAGCTGCTCGCGCTCTCCAGCTATCAAACCATCCGAAAAGGAAAAAACCCCATTGACCTCAAGCACAACATCATCCCATCCCGAAGTGCAGCGGCTATCTGTCGGCTCGGTCTCGGTGGCTCCACTTCCATTTTGCAGCTGATTCCTTAGGTTCGTGTTAATGGGAGGCAATACCGCGAAAGGCAAGGCTGGCTTAGTCTCGTCACTTAGCAGGGGTTTGGCGTTGTGCAGCTTCCAGTGTGTCTGCAAAGACACCCATGCAGCAATCTTGGACAGTCCTACCGTGTATGGCGCCGAGTTGATGCGTTCAAGTACGCGACGTGAAACTTCGCTAACAACTCTATCTACAATGGCATCAAGACGAGCATTCTGGGCGATCTCATTCTGTGCATCTTCTGTGTGCTCTCCTCCGCTCATGGCCTCAGCCGCTGGGGGCAGCTCAATCGGAGGTGCAGCGGATGGTGCGAGACGGCGTGGAAGCGGTGGGGTTCGAGGTCGTCGAACGAGTCTTGGATGCTGTACACGATCTCCCGAAGCTGTAGCTGCGGTTATCAATGGATTCGGGGTCGGCTCACATGGCTTGGTCCAAACTGCTGAAGTCGCTGAGGTAGCCGATGATGTTGTGGCTTTCGATCTCGTTGAGGTATCCGATGGATTAGCCATTTCATCACTCCACGACGTAGTCGACGGTAATTTCCTCTTCATGGGTGGCGGCTTTGGCGGTGACATCGGCGATGACGATTTGGGCGGAGTCATCGGTTGTGGAATGGTCGATGAAGGTTTCCTCTTCGGGGATGGCGGCTTCGGCGGTGATGTTGGCGATGACGATTTGGGGGGTGTCATCGGTTGTGGAATGGTTGTCATGCTATGCCCCGGTGGGGGATAGGATGGCTCCTTGGGAATTCTCTGTTCCCGCGAACTCTCCGAAACTCTTCTGGGGGCGGGGGGTCTAGGTGGAATTTTCGGTACAGATTGCATCAGAACCGGTGCAGCCCCTCGAGCTTTGGCTAATCGCATCACTTGCGCTGAAAAATCTTCATGTGATCGTCTGCCCGGTAGGCCCTTACCAGCAGGTCGATATTGAACTGGCATGACACCTACCTTGTCAGCTCCACTATCTTTCAGATGAGCCAACTTCCTGAGGAGAGTGTGCGAATTTTTGCTTTGAAGATGCAATCTACCTCTACTCACTGTGCTTGCACAGTTTATCCTATAGCGAAGAATGCTAACATCCTCAGGGTAAGCATCAAGGGGATGTTGAAGGAATTCTTTGAGGCTGGAGCTCCATCTGTTATCGGCAATTGCAAATCTGTGCCTAACCTCAGCAGCATCAACCCCACTATAATGCGAATTTTCATAGTAGAGGTTGATAACCCGCTTGTTATGCCTGTGGTTCGGCTTGGCGCAACTCTCAACTCGCTGAGGGCAGCATCTGATAATGTGTCCCCGAACACATATGCGAATCTCACATCGGAGATAATCAGCAGTACCTAGAATAGCTAACATGTTAGCCCAGGCATTCTTCTTTTTGAGAAGTTTGATTTGTTGGCAGAGTTCAGCGTCTTGCGCTTTCAGGGCATGTTGCATCATGCTGTCGGTCGTGAGAGCTTTAAGTCTATGCCACGAAAAGTTAAGCTGCTTGGCCACTGCTCTCCAGTAACAGTTGCCATCACCAACAATGCGAGTCGTGTGTAAAGGTGTTTTAACTCCATGATGCAGGACATCCACCTTAACATCGAACTTTTCGACTCTACTTTCATGCCTCTTAGCATATTTATCATTCTTGGGCTTGCGGGGTTTTCGGAGTCGCGCGAGACTAGAAGTTAGGGGCACACAAGTAAACCCCCAAGTCCCCGAGAACCAAACTAACCCAAAAAAGAGCAAGACCCTGAACACAAACCTCCAAAACCCTCCCCTCACCAGGTTGCAGCCCGTAGTGACTCTGCGAGGGGCTGTCTGGTCGCGATGTTGAAGTTCCTGAGCGATTATGGAATGTATGAGCTCAGAGCATAAAGTGAAGAGGCCGATTAGGGTCCACAGGTAATTGGAGTTCTTATGGTCAGTAGTTTTTTGCTTGGTGCTTCTGGTCACATAGTCGCATTGCCAAGTGTAATGGACACAAGACATTGACAAGAAAGACTGCTTTCTGAACTCAATGTATCGCTGTCTAATCTCACTAAACATTCCGAAGTCGCAATCCCAATTCTTTTGCCCTGCATGCATCAAGCAGCGTGCTTGACTGCGGTGTCCTTGGGGATTGCAAGGGATATTCAGGAGAGGACAAGGGTCATCCTCATCATCATCATCATCATGCAAGACATCTGCGAAGCAGTGTTTCGTTGCATTGCAACTGCAGATGTTGCTTTTGTTGTTGTTGCTGTTGAATTTTGCATCATGCAAACAGGAGCCGCCTGCGGGCTTTGCAATTTTTTTGCTCGTTTTTGTGAACGATTTTTTGCAATAATTTTGGCAGTCATTTTTATTTTTGCTGTTGCACTGCCAATGCTGGCGGTCCAAAAGGGACCAATTGCTGTATGTCCAACCTGCATCATTGACAGGTTGCTTGCTCAGATCGGGTGCGTTGATATGGTACTGCAAATGCACGCTATGCGCAGACGCACAGCTGCATGGCTTATCGGCAAGACACAGTCCGTAGTAGGTAAGCCCACTCCAGACAAGAATGAAAAGCATCAACAGTAGATGCAACTTACTGCGGCTATGTTCGTAGTCAGCTGCCATGGCCTTCTACCCAAGAGAGAAGACACTACAACAGCCGCTAACAGCTCAAGCCCCGAGAAGGCCAAGCCGCCCTTGAGCCCAGAATTAGGTTTTGGGGCCCACCATGCTATAATTACATATCGTAAAGGACCCCCCCCCAGAAGAGTATAGGTAATCAGCGAGGCCCCTACATGAAGGCCGCCGTGTTATGATGGTGTTATTCCCACAACAGTCAGGCCGATGAGGCACCGCCGGAAGAGCAGGAGGAGGCGGGCCTGCCGGAGTCAACGGTCTGGTTCTTAGTAGGGAATCGGGTTCCTTTAAGGGTTGCTATAAGGGTTATACTACAGGGGTTTAGGGTTCTTAGTAGGCTGTCTGGTTCTGAGTAGGGAATTGGGGAATGGATCCCTATGATAGTCCCTTGAGGTCCGCTAGACTAGTCCCGATGATACCGATGCCCCCATTCCCTATTAAGAACCAGACAGTCAAGAGCCAGTTTCAGTTTGAGGTGCGATGTACCCCCCCCCCCCACCCACAGAAAAAAGGTTGAAGCATTTAGAAAGAGAGAGACACAGGGGTCGCGAGGGTCTTGGGGTTTGGGTTTAGGTTTCGGTATTCTCATCCCCTTATGCTCACGTGCTCCTTCCGCACCCATGAGATGTGGGAACCCAACCCTAAACCCCCAATCCCTGAAAATGCAAATCGTTCAGCTCTGTCTCCATTTTGGAGCTTCCCGTTCCGGTCCTTCAGGGTGTAGGGCTTAGGGTTTAGGGTTTAGGGTTTTGGGTTTAGGGTTTAGGGTTTAGGGTTTAGGGTTAGGGCGTGAGGGTCAAGGGTTCGCAACCGCCCTCATTCCAAGATGGGAATCTCAGCTCCTGAGCCCGACTCAGATCTAGAACTTTTTCAAATCAAACATCTAAATGGGAGTTTCCGAAATTTAGGGGGTACCTTATTTTGGGGTCCTTATAATAAGGATCCTACCATTTAAGGTACTATATTAGGGTCCCCTATTTTCGGAGACTCCCCAATCCCCAGCCCTAGACCCCTAAACCCCACGCCCCGGACCCTAAACCCTTCACCCTAAAGCTTAGCTTGAACCATATAGGGTTTAGGGTTTAGGGTTTAGGGTTTAGGGAACCCATGGCGAGCATGGTGGGGTATGCTCCTTCGAGCCGGTCCTACCAATGGAAGTCACGATGTGGGAGTGTATCGAGATCTATCACCAGGAGCGGAAAGCATCCGCGTTCGCAAGCCTGCAGGTTGCATGGAGCTGTTTGTTGGGCCACGGTCCATGTGGGAGTTTCCGAAAATAGGGCACCCTAATATAGTACTTTAAATGGTAGGATCCTTATTATAAGGATCCCAAGATAGGGTACCCCTAATTTTCGGAAACTCCCATGTCAGCTTCTGCTCCCTTGCTCTTGTCCAGGCTGGGGTGGCATCCGTCTTTGTCTTTGTTCCAGAACCGGTGAATGCGAAGAAGTCCAAGAAACCTTGCCCTGCTCCTAAGTTTAGGGTTTAGGGTTTAGGATTTAGGGTTTAGGGTTTAGGGTTTAGGGGTTTAGGATTTAGGGTTTAGGGTTTTGGGGTTTGGGGTTTGGGGTTTAGGGTTTAGGGTTCACATTTAACGAGCGTGACTGGAGGGTCTTGACAATGGACCAACGAGTTTGGAATGTCGTGGAAGTCTGCATCAGCGCTGTCCGCAGTCGAGGCAGGCCGTCGTCTGTCATGACCCTGACTAACTGCCTTTTAGGCGCTGCGAAAACATAGCTGCACCGTCTGGCATCTTGACTCCCGAAGACAACGGCTGCTTCTGCCTGAAGTCCTATATGAACCCTAAATCCCGGATCGCTAACCTCTCGGGCGGCAGACGGAGAAAGGCCACTGCACATAACATAAAGCCTTGTATTGTAGTAGAAAAATGTGAATATTCTTGGTGTGCAGGAAGACACTGGTGAAGGTGACGCCGTCAACGTGACGGAGAGGCCGGCAAAAGGGCTGCCTTTTTGGGGCTGATGTGATTTGGGTTTAGGGTCTAGGGTCTAGGGCTTCGGAATTCTCAGAGATCCCAATATCCCTTAATTAAGGAATACACCTAAAGTTATAGGGGGCCTGAATATGATGGCTTAGGGTAGATTCCTTAGAAGCTGCCCCCACCCTGTAATAGTGGTATAATAGGAATATAATAGGGCCCTAATATAATCCTTTTATATCCTTATGGTCACTATTACCCTAAACCCTAAACCCTAAACCCTAAACCCTAAACCCTAAGGGCCCCTTCTAATAGATTCCTTAATAAAGGGGATGGTGGGATCTCTTGGTTCGGGGGTTTTGGGGCCTAATCAGGAGATCTGTGGTTCAGGGCTTAGGGGTTTAAAGGGTTTGGGGGTTTGGGGGTTTGGGGGTTTAGGGGTTTAGGGTTTAGGGGTTTAGGGGTTTAGGGTTTAGGGTTTAGGGTTTGGGGGTTTGGGGGTTTGGGGGTTTGGGGGTTTAGTTGAGGGGTTTGGGGTTTCGGGGCTGAGGATTTGGTCTAAGGAGGGGTTTAGCGCTTGTAAGGATCCAAATCTGGCCATGGGGTTTGCAGGGTTCCCGGTTCAGGGTTTAAAGATAACCCTAAGGGTCCAAATACCTAATTATCATATACTCTCCAAAATCCTAACCTACATAAATACTATCCTAAATCCGAATACCTAATTATTGGGTCCTTTGGACCCTTGAGATAAGGTTCAAGATTTGCGACGAAGGGGGAAGGGCGGGAAGGGAAGGGCTTGCTCCAGGGCCCCTCCTAAACCCCTAAACCCTAAACCCCTTTCTAGAACCCTTATGGATCCCTTTAAGGAGACCCTATAGACCCCTTTAAAGGAACCCTAAACCCCCAAACCAACCTGATACTCTGAAGTCCAAGCCCTGGAACCCTTTCGGCCGTCCCGTCAAAGCGATGCCAGGTTTTTCGAGGAGGCGAAGTTCGGATGCTTCTGGATCGTCTTCCAGGCCCGGGGTGTTGTGGGCTTTCAGAGAGCTCTTTAGGGGCTTATGAATGTAGTGTAGGGGCCTAAAGAACGACCGATACTGTTTTTGGGGTTTCCTTGTTGTAGTTATGGTGTAATATACCCGAAAACCTTATTCTGATTGTTAAGGCCGCTGTGTTATACGGGCATTGTACATAGTCTTGCGGATTGTGCAGGGTTCTGGGCTTCTTTGGAAAGGTGTGCCTGGGGGTCTTCGGGTGCCTTGAGGGAAACCCTAAGACTTATATGGGAGTTTCCGAAAATTAGGGGAACCCAATATAGTACCCTAAATAGTAGGATCCTTATTATATATAAGGACCCCCAAGTAAGGTACCCCTAATTTCCTGAAACACCCATATCCTTTTCAAGCGTCCCGATGAAGAATGACAGACTGATAAAAAGCACCGGGATAATCAGTAATGGTATTGTAGTCCTCATGTGTGAAATAATTTGAAATATTTGGAAAATAGTATCCCCTCGCAGTCCCTCTTATGTATGTACACATATATGTATATACACACACACATATGCATATATTTATACACATGTGAACATGTGTATATACATGTTATGACTATAATGGACCACTAAGCCTTGTTGTAATTCGCAAGTCCGCCCTAATGATCCTCCACGCAAGAGGGATCGGAGTTTGGAAGGCTGTGTTAACAACTGTCCAAGGCCCTTCTGGCGCTCCAAACCCCCTTTTCCTAAACCCAGAGCCATGCCCTCAGAACTCCGAATCCGGGAAGCGGGAGTGTCTGGGGGTTTAGGGCTTAGGGCAAAGGTCTTGAAATTATTAGCTTTCTTGCCTTGAAGAAAAACAGGAGTATCCTTTCGGAGGTCCTTATGATGAGGAGAACAGTAGGGGGTTGCATGAGTATAAACCCTGCGGAGGCTAAAAGCCCGAACTCGAAACCCTTTATCTTTGAGCAGAGCACCGACTGAACTGATCTTTCATGATTCTTGCTTGCAGGAAAATGGGGGGCCTTGGTAGCCATAATCGGCGCTGCAGAGGTATATGATATCTGATAGCAGTGTTAGTCATTGTTACGTAGGGCCTCGTATGGGGCATATGAGTACCAGTTTTTGCAAAGCTAGGAAGCTACCGCGCACCCACCGCCACAAATCAGGCCGTGGAAATATCCCTCAACCACAACCATGCACCCGAAGGTGTCAAGCTCCGCGAGCTAAAGCCGTCATGATCATGGCTACCCTTTCAAGGGCCACTGTCTCACCATCTAAAGCAACCTTAGACCCTGAATCCCAAACCCCAAGCCCTAAACCCTCAACCCTGAATCCCGAATCCTAAACCCGAAACCCCTAAACCCCTGAACCCTAAACCCCTAAACCCTAAACCCTCAACCCTGAATCGGACCCTACGACCTGCTGAGCTAAGAGACGCTGTGAGGATGGCGCCCGATGCTCCATCCGCATGCATCACGAACGCCTCTGGCCATTGCCCCGGTCAGGATATGGGTGGTTGTCAAAATTATGGTCCCGTTTAGGGTCCTTACTATAATACGGCACCTAATATTTAGGGTACCCAAGAAAGGGCCTTAAGTTTGACAACCTACCCGTATTCCTTCAGATGAGAGGTGTAGAGGTTGTTTAAAGTCAGGTTAATAGTTTGTTTAGTATAGAGTTCATGTCATGAGCTTAGAGAAGGAGAACCGGGTTGTCGACGAGTTTCTTTGGAGGGTTTAGGTTTCAGGGTTTAGGGCTTAGGGCTTAGGGCTTACGGGTTCAGGGTTTAGGGTTACGGGTTCAGGGTTTGGGGTGGTTTTTGTTGCAGGGTTTGGGCGAAGACAGGAGATCTGATGATGCTAAGGCTTGCATACAGTAAACTCCATAAAGTTGGAAACCGGATTAAGGAAAAACAGTGCTGGGATTCCCCATGCATTACTCTTCAGGATTGAGGCTATTGGGTTTCCAACTTTTGGGCTTCAACTGTAGCCTGTAGTGGTGGTTTGGTCTGCAGAGTTGCCCCGAAATAGAGCGAACTATGCGTTACGCTAGGACGCCCAGTTTCTCCGGATTGTCTGATTTCGGGGGGAAGTGCAACCGGAGATATGCAGAGCTAGTTTTGCCCCGCGATATTCGGAGGTTGACTAGTAGGAAGAAACGCAACAAGCTTTTGTAAGACAGAAGCCCAAAGAAGAGCTTAGCACAGAGAAGGTAGCAACAAGCTCTTAGAGCTTACAAATCGGATGCGGAGCAGATGGGCTTCATCCCGGCAAGAGGATGTAGAATGGGGTAATTAACCGCTTGGGGGAATGGGAAGCAAGACACCCTAAGGAATGCGAAGGCCGACAGCCTACCTGCTCAACAGCACCACTCTGCAGCAGCTTTTGGTGCTTCGATGATTACCGCGTTGACGACGACCGTGATGAGTGTGATGAGGCCGATGATGAGGATGGTACTGTAGGGGCCTTAATAATTACCTACACTATTCTGGGGTTCCTTTTTATAATTTTATAACCATAGTGCAATGGCCCCAAAACCCTATTCTGATTATTGAGGCCCTCGTATTAGTTGTCATGGTCATGAATTACGAGCTTGAGGTTGAGGGTAAAGATGGTCAGTATGAAGGTTGTTCGTGGTGATGACAGCCACAACCAGACAGCCGGTGATTGAAAGCGCCATCTACGTAGTATTGCAAGTAGGAAGCAGGCGAAGCTTATTGTAGTGATTCAAACCCCGCACTTCCGAACAACCCTAAACCCTAAACCCTACCCTAAATCCAAACTGCCATCCCTTTGCTAGGTACTCGCCAGGGGCTGGGAGCCCGGCTATTTCCTGGGTGCACGAAGGGTTCGGCTTCATGGAAAGGCTTTGCCTTCTACCAGTACTATGAAAAATACGGCCACCACGACAACCACTGTCGTTCCTACTGCCACCACGCTTACCGTTACTGCTGCTGCTGCTGCTGCTTTCGCGAGGTTTTGTAGATTCAGCATTCGGAGGTCGGTGCACGCAGTGTGTTTGCACTTTGGGTGGGTGGGCGGGGATGATCCTATCCTCCTACTCCTGCGCCTGCTGGTGCTTGTACTCCTCCTCCTCCTCCTCCTGTTTCTATTCCTGCTTCTGCTCCTGCTGCTGCTATTGCTCCTGCTACTGCTACTGCTACCGCTGCCAAACGTGCGATGACTAGTCTTAGTGCCGGCCTCGTCGGTTCTGAGTGGACAAGAAAAGGGACTTGATTTTGAATGAAGGATTCCGGAGGGGCCCACTACTCAGTCAGCGGGCACTCAGACCTTCAAACACTTTAGGGTTGAGGGTTGTACAGTTTGGGGGTTAAGCCTGGGTTTGGAGTACCATACTTGAATACTTCTTTGGGTACCTGTACCTTAAAGGAACCATTCTGACATGAAAGTCTAGACTTTTTCCCCGTGGTTACTTCAAAGTCCAGCAAGGGTTTGCTAGGGCTTCAGGCTTTTAGGGTTGCAGGTTCCACAGGGTGTGCATGTCTGGGGGTTTCTGGTCTGGGCGTCTGTTCTCAGTTTGCGCTCCGTTTACACAGCTAGCTGCTGCTGTTGGGGTTGAGCACGGTGAAATCATAACCAGGGTTTTCAACTGAAGATCTATCAAGTGCACCCCTATCTCTTTCCCGTTTTTCTAGCAAAGCTACAGGTCATTACACACTCAGGCCTCTTCGCAGTCCATCGGGGTTCACACGTTTGGCAAAGACTGGTGATGCAGTGCTGAAGTACCCTAAACCCTAAACCCTAAAACCGAAACCCTGAACCTAAACCCGAAATCCGAAACCCTAAACCCTAAACCCTAAATCCTGAACCCTAAACCCTAAACGAGGATCTTTCCTGGGACTTGTCTTCATCACGGCCGGGTGTGCAGGCCCGTCTCCCACGGACGAGGTTTTTTGTGTCGTCGTTGTGTTCAGGGTTTAGAGTTTCAGGGTTTAGAGAAGTTTTGGGACCTAGGGTATGAAAAGGATGTTCTGTGCTCTTAGTTCATGGCTTGTTGACAGGGGTTTAGGGTTTAGGGTTTAGGGTTTAGGTTCAGGGTTTCGGTTTTAGGGTTTAGGGCCTAGGGTTTAGGGTCTCAGAGTCTTTGAGAATGTGGAGCAGCACCACATCTCACCGTAAGCGGCGACATACGTGTCAGGATCATTTTCTCGATCGGATGTCTGTAAACTGGAGCTCGGGGTTCATTCTCCAAGAAGGCTTCAGGGCTCTGAGTCTTACGGCTTAGATGACAGGCTCTAACAATTGGAACGTTGGGGTTGGGTTTTCGGGGTGTGGGGGCCTACAGTCTAAAGTCTTTTCTGGCAAGAGCAGTCAGGCACTCGTCCTGCCTTATACCATAGCTTGAGCATGAATGTAATTTCTTGTCATTCCCACTTTTGCTTCCAAGATCGCAGATATGGTGTAGGGGAGTCAGCATCTTCGGGGACCCTAATATGATACTTACTGGTATCTTGGGTTCCTTGGATTCTTAGTACAAGGAACTCCCAAAAGTCTACAAGACTCCCAGTGCAGTGATGACTCGGCTCCCGCGAATATAAGAAACTTCCGCAAGGTGAAATCCTCAAAGGGGAAAAGGAGGGACCCTTAATGGGGACCCCTACCCTATAATGGGCTATATCATGGGCATATAATAGCTATATTAAGGGTATATGCCTAGGGGTACTTATTAAGGGTCCCTCCTTTTACCCTTGGAAATCGTTCTGTGCTGTGTGCAGTCGGCTTCTTTAATTAGGGTCCCTTTCTAGGGGTCTTCGCTGATTGTTGTAAAAGTGACACGTCATTTTGGGTGAGAATTGGCCTAAGCTAGAGAGTCACCCAGAGAGCCCAATACCCCTTAATTAAGGAATTTGGCTTAGATTTTCAGGGCTTCATATTATGATTTAAGCTATACTCCTTAGTTAAGGGGTTTTGGGCTCTCTGGGTATCCATCTCAAGCACAGTGCCCTGAACGTCCGAAACTATAGCATCTCCACCTTCAAGCCCCAAATCCTGCAGGTCTCAACCCGAAACCCTCAAGCCGAATCCCTAAACCTTAAGCTTCGAACCTAAATTGCAGCCCTCAACCAACCCCTAAACCCCAAACCCACAAGCCTAGACCTTCAGGTAAACCCTAAACCCCAAACCCACCAAACAGAATCCTTTCAGGTCACCTACACGCCGGTCTCGGGTGTGGTCATCCAAGCTTTCAGCGACGCGTCCATCCGCCAGAACTGGCCTTCGCAGAGCCGGGGGCCCAGACTTTCGGGATTAGAGACCCTAAGCCCTAACCCCAAAACCCCTAAACCCTAAACGTTTAGGGTATAGGGCCTCGAAGGGTTCCATAAGAATTTTGATCTTTCGGGTTTAGGGTAAGATCCCTGCCTCGGCTTCACTCGTACATGGAGTTCAGAGCTTACTTAAAGGATCAGGGGACTTAGAAACTATAACTAGGGCAACTCTACTTATACATACCTATAACCCCAATTATTGTACTTATAACCTTACTTACTAAGTCCCATGATCCTCCAAGTAGAGGGGGGTAGACCCGGAGCCACGGGGTTTCGTGGGTTTCCGGCTTTGAGTCGGTGTGGTTGGAGCCCCAAGATAGAAGCCCGAGTAAGTGCGGTTTAGGGTTTAGGGTTTGGGGTTTAGGGGTTAGTCCTACTTCCCAGGTTACTTTTTTGAAACCGAGGACCAGCAATGGTCAACTCCGTGTCAGATATTGGTGTTCTTACATGACCCCATATGGGAGTTTCCGAAAATTAGGGGCAGCTTGTTTTGGGGTCCTTATAGTAAGGATCCTACCATTTAGGGTACTATAGTAGGGTCCTGTATTTCCGAAACTCCCATGCTCCAACATTTACTAAGCTTCGGGCCTGATGCTTTGAAGACATGGCCCAGGGCTGTTCCCGGACGTGGGACGCGAGGCGGATGACATGCTGCCAGGCCGGTTTAGGGTCCCAGGGGTTGGGATTAATGCATGCAGTGATGGGTAGACATCTAAACCCCTAAACCCGAAACCCTAAACCCCTAAACCCTAAACCCCAAACCCTAAACCCCTAAACCCTAAAACCTAAACCCTAAACCCCTAAGCCCCTAAACCCTAAACCCTAACTCTCTGAAGCCGAAATCCCAAACTTGCATGGATGAGCTACATCATGACAGAGGGGCTTCTTGGGGTTTTCGTTTCGGGCTTTGGGCTCTGAACTTCAGGCCTCAACCACAGGAGTCCAAAGCTAAGCACCCGAAAATATCCGCAACCCGGGGAGGGTGTTGGGGTCGAATTGCCACTTGAACCCCCAAGTGCTAGACGCTCCACCATGGGTTTAGGATGAAGGACTTTGTGGCTGAAAGCTTCAAAGCTGCGCACTCTCAACTACTAGCTTTGTCCTTCTTGAAGTTCCTTTACCTTGCGGGCCAAAGGTTGAGCTATGGAGGTTTTTGAGTTTAAGGGGTTTTGGGCCTCGGGCCCGTGCAGTTTCATCCTAAACCCAAGGCACTAAACCTGCTGACTTGCACTTTCCCTAAACCCTGAACTCCGTAAGCCCGAAACCCTACACTTTTGAAGCGTAGCACGCCTTGGGTTCAAGAGCCAGAGCTTGATTTTGGACCTCTGGGTCTAGGGCTTTGCCGGTTTCGGGCCTCGGGGCAGGCATGAGGATCTGACAAGTTTTCAGTTCCGTTTTGGGTTGGGGTTCAGGGTTTAGGGTTTAGGGGGTGTGCACCGGGTCCAGGTTTAGGCTTTAGGGTCTTTGAATGCAGCCGTAAAGCCTAAGCCCGAGAAGTACCAGGATCCCCCAATGGCCCTTTAATAGATCCCCTTTTGGTCCTTAATAGTGGGTATATTAGAGGGTAGTCGGGGAAACCCTAGACCCTAAACCCCTAAACCCTAAACCCGAAACCCTAGGGGGGGTTAAGGTAAAGCCTGGACTTTGAGTGGGTGCTGTTTGTGTGATTGCAACTGACAACCCGCCCGACTTCTGAGTCGGGGGTTGGGTTTTGGGGGTTTGGGGTTTAGGGTTTGGGGGTTTAGGGGTTTAGGGGTTTGGGGGTTTAGGGGTTAGGGATTTAGGGGTTTAAGTGTTGGGATTTGGGGTATAGGGTTTACGGTTTGGGGCGTGGGATTCAGGGCTTTTTGTGGACAGTCGCTTCGGGTGTCGTTGCCAAGGCCCCAAACCATGCATGTCGTGTAGAAGGCCTTATTGGATAATCGGACTCTCTAAGCACCCCACCTAATTCAGGGGCCTTAACAGTTACCTATACTATTTTGGGGGGCCTTGTTCTCATTGTAGTATAATGGGCCGCAAAACCCCATTCTGATTATTAAGGCCCCGATGTTCCTGCTACCCAAACAACCCACTAAGGGACTGGACAGGCGAAAGTGTTTTGCCCATAGCAGCCGGCTTGTTTCGTATTCATGTAACGCTGGCTAGACAGCCAGGAACCCTCTCAAGGACTCAAACCCCACATCCAGCCCAACCTGAAAGACTGAACCCTGCCGCCCTCCCTCCCTCCGTCCCTGCCCTCTTCCTCCCCATCTCCTTCCCTCCCCTCCTGAGCAACTGAAACCCGAAGCCTTAATTCCATCCCGAGAGCCCCACACTCTGTTCTCTTTCCTGTGCCACAGGCGCGGCCCAGGCGCGTTCAGCAAACAAAATCAGGGGCACATTCGGGGTACCTGATTTAAGTTTAGGGACCCTTACAACAGGGATCCTATCGCTTCGGATTCTACATGCGGGTGCTGCTTTCAGCAACTCCTTTGGCACTGTGGGCCTGGGATGTTGGCTGTGCGATTCGCGGGCTTCGGTGTGCAACATGGCAGGGCTCTGGAGTTTAGAATGTATGTACAACCGAAAAATCACCTCTACAGGTACAAAGGCCCTAAACTCGAAATCCTCTAAACCCCCACACCCTACACCCAAAGCCATGCTCGCTCGCACGATGTCTCGGAAGTCTTTCAAGTTTCTCTCGGATTCCTGTAAAAATGCTGCTGCATCAGCTAGCTCATCAGGCTCACACCTTATATCATCGTTGTGGTGAGTCTCTTCGACATTGTTCTCTCGTAGTCCTTGAAGGTGAACCGAAATCTGGGGAGATGTCACCCCAAACCCCCATGACCCTTGCCCAATCCGCGTCGGACCCTTTCCTTTTCTCTCTCCAGATTTCTGTCTTGCTCTCTCCTCGGTCTGCAAGCCTTCTGTCTTCCTCATTCTGTCCCTCGTGTTGAGGATTTGAGGCTGAGCACCGCCAAACGGATGTTCATATTAGTCGACAGCAAAACACACAAGCATAAAGCTTCACAGGAACAAGGGTCAGAAGCGGTCCGGTTCTCCTGCAATTGAGTAGTTCTCCATGTTTTCTGTTTGCTTAAGTGACTTGCTTGGCCAGGACATCGAGTTGTCGCGGGTCGTTTCCCCATTCGGTGAGCTAGTGATTGAACGGCCGAGCTCCCAGAGCAGTTTCTCGCTTGGGGTTAGGACGGTTAGGGTGCTTCCGACATTTGCTGGGGCTCCTTCCTAAACCCGAAAGAAGCCCTCAACCCGAAACCCTAAACTTAGGCTTTCTTCACTGTGCGGAGTGCCCGGAACAGACGGTGACCCAAACGGGAGCGCAACTGCGGCCCTCCATCCTTTGACCTGTCGTGCCTGCTTGATACTTAGGTTGGATACGATAGCCCTCAACCGAATGAGCCGCATCGTCGTTACCATCATCATCATCATCATCATCGTCATCATCGTCATCATCACCATCATACCCACCACCATCATCAGCATCATCGTCGTCATCCTTATTGTCATTATTGTAATCGTCGTCGTCATCGTCACCGTCACAATCATCACATATCATCACCATAGTCGTCAACATCATCATCGTCATCGTCATCATCATCACCATAGTCGTCAACAACATCATCATCATCGCCACCGTCATCGTTATCGTCATCTTCATCACCATCATCATCGTCATCGTCGTTATCATCATCACCGCTGTCATCACCACTGTCACCACCGTCTCCATCATCATCTTCACCGCCAACATCATCAGCATCATAGAAGGGATAGTAGGCATTAAGATAGTCATGCTGAAGGCTTGGTGATCACGAACACTACTGCCACGAACGATAGAGCAGCCACAAAGACAACATCGACGACGACTGCTTCCGCTGTCTCCCCTCCCTCACCCTCACCCCCTTCATGATATCGAACAAACGACAGGGATAGACAGACCTATCTGTGTGACTGCCATCCGCTAAACTTCGCGAAGGCTTTCTGGCCGGCGAGAGGTGCCGACCCGCGGGGCTGGGTGAGTGATTTGCTTCCCGGTGCTTAAAGGATCATGGGACTTAGTAAGTACGGTTAAAAGTACCTGAATCCTTAATTATGACCCTAGTGACTAAGTCAAATGATCCTTTAAGTAGTCACAGACCTACCCCCCAGAAGAAGAGATGTATAAGTGTACACTAATCAATCCCTTTAAAAGACACCCTTGAAAGGAACGCTGCGGAACCCTTAAAGCGGTCCTTGTGCCGACCTCCAACCCGAATCGGAGCCCAAAGCCCTGCGAGTCCTAAACCCTCAACCGGATCCTCACAGGCCCAAATTAAGCCCTAAGCGGGCTTGGGGTTCAGGGCCCCTCTACGGGAAATTTTTTTTCGTGTGAACCAACATCTACATTTGCCCCAACATCCAAAGGATTTTACAGACCTTTCGTTCAACAAAGCCGAGAGTTTCGGTAGTGTTTCACACTTCTTGTTCTTCCGAAGACGCAGGAATTATGAAGACGCGAGTTGCGTTCCAGCATCTTTTGCTTATTGCGTCACTTCTTGAACTTTTCGGTTCTTTTGGATAGTCTGTTCATTCTCTTTGGCCTGGTGGTTCTGGGAGCCATATTGCTTGAGATCCTTTGCGAGAATTCATGGTTTCAGGTCACAAGTTGAGGGTCTTTTCCAGCATCTTCTTGTTTGGATTGTCCCCACCATCCCAATCTGTCTGGTTCTTAGTAGGGAATGGGGGAATGGATTATGGAGACTATCATCGGGGATTACATAGGGACTACTATAGGGATCCATTCCCCCGTACTAAGAGACACGGAGCAATCGCACCTGACCATGGTCGTTGTGGTTAATGCTGCTGCTGCTGCCACTACGACGACTACTATGTACTGCGACAGCGATAAAGGCTAGCACTTCCTCTACCATTACCACTACCACTCCACTACCACGACCACCCACCACCATACCAACCTCAGCCTGCACTTGTCGCTGAATCTCTGCCATTCGTGAAATACATGTCTCGTTTTGAGTAATCTTCCGCTTGCTGTCACAACGACGACCGCGACCGCCTCCGGAACCCTAACCCCCTAAACCCCTACACCCCTAAACCCCTAAACCCCTACCCCCTAAACCCCTAAACCCTGTAATGAAGCCACTAGGGTTCCGAGGTTGGCCCTCTCAAGTCGGGCCACAGACTTTCAGCTTCACCCCACGAAGCTTGAAACCAAAAAGCCCGCCCTTAAGCTCATGATTCCGTGTTTTGGAGAAGTTCACGATTTGTTGGATGTATATTACAATTCATCCATGGTGACATGTAGGTTATCTTGTACTTTGCTGGGTTGAAGCTATGTTACCGACCATGGATACACACCTTAGCCCGAACGTCCTAGGCCTGCTAGCCTAAATCTCGCGTCGTGTCGGCAGGTCTATCACCCGTCTGGGACCCGTGCCTGGCGAAATCCAACAGTCGAGGCTCCTAGCCGCAGTTGAGCATCCCAAGCTGCGGGAGGCTTTGTTGTGGTCGTTTGGTTATTTCCTCACTCGACCTGAAGCCCCCAACGTAAAGGCCTGAACCCAAAGTCCCTCCTCCACCGTGTCAGTCTTTATCTGCAGCAGCATCATCGCCGCCATCATCAGCGTCATAACCCTCATCATCGACAGCAGTAGCACCACCAGCAGTAGGACCGCGATTGTCGGTCGGAGCAGTGTTGCCGAGGCGGCGGGTACACATGGTGTTGGTTGTGATCACAGGTGTGCCAGTGACGTCCCTGAGATACCGGTTGAAGTGGTAGACTTTAAGCTTACTCCAGTGCTTACTCCTTGATCGTCTGACAGGAGCTGCAAGGGCGACGCGATCGCTACAAGGCTCGAGCAAGAACGCGGGGCTGTGACGTGCGAGCCTCGGATACCTCGTGGCGGTCGTTTGTGCTTGTCATGCAGGGTTTAGGGTTTACCCCTACAAGTATGTGGAATAATGGCCTCTTGCCTTCTTTCGGAGGTTTAAGTCGGAATGACAATGCCGGCTTTCAGGGATCTGATGCCTATAAAACTGGGGACGCTTGACCCTAAACTCTAAACTCTAAAAACTCTAAACCCTAAACCCTAAACTCTAAACCCTAAACCCTAAACTCTAAACCCTAAACCCTAAACCCTAAACCCTAAACCCTAAACCCTAAACTCTAAACCCTAAACTCTAAATCCCGCAAATTCGGGCCTTGGAGTCTCCTGCTTGGGGGGGGTCTCTAGGGCTCATCTAGCGTTCGTTTAGGGTGTTGAGGGTTTGTCTCAAAGGGGAAAAGGAGGGACCCTTAATGGGGACCCTTATCCTATAATGGGGCCATATAATGGGTATATAATGGTTCTATTAGGGGTATATACCTAGGGGTGCTTATTAGGGGTCCCTCCTTTTCCCCTTGGATTGTTGTACTCCTTACGGCGCAGGGGTTACTTGGAGGGCCAGGTGACTTAGTAAGCGGTTTATATGTAGGCTTATAACTGGTGTAACTCCATTTAGGGTACTTATAACTCTATAGGCTACTTACTAAATCCCCTGACCCTCCAAGTAGAGGTCAGGGGGCGGGTAAGGATCAATAGTTTAGGGCTCCTAAAGCTCAGAATTGAAAACTGTTGGAAGCCGGACTCCGATTCACTGAACCCGTTTAGGCCTAACCTTGTGGTGTGGCTCAATTTAGTCTTTCCTTTGTGATTTCGACAAAAAACCTTTGAAGGTCTCAACTCCGGCTGCAAGGGGTTGATCCGACTCACTCTAGATTAGAGATCATGGCTAGCTGTTGCTCACGATCGCCTGAAAGCATGTTTGGAACAATATATTAATTGCCAATACTTGTATGAGGGCTCTGGAGTCCGACCAACAACAACAATACTTGTATGGGATTCCTTAATATACTTAGCATAGTGAGCCCCAGAGCCCTATTCTAATTATTTTCAAGGTCCCTCAATTATCCTTGAGCTGATCCCGGACCGAGACCACAGAATTTGTCACACATTTGGCGATTGGGGAGAGTTCATCACCTACTTGGAGGCCCAGGGAACTTAGTAAGTCGGTTATAAGTAAGGGTCATAATTGTGGCACCTCCATTTGGGGTACTTATAACTCTACTTAGAACCTACTTACTACGTCCCCTGGGCTTCTAAGTAACCCTAATTCCCCTTACAGAACCCTTATAGATCCCTTTTTAAGGAACCCTTTAAGGAACCTTACTACTTACTACGTCCCCTGGGCCTCTAAGTAATCCCCACAGCTCTAAGCCGGACATTTCCTGGTAGAGGCTCAAGCCATGCCCCCCCCCGATCACGAAACTGCGCGCCATCCCCCGAAACTACACTGCCAAGTATATTGGTAAGTGATAGTCTGATAAGCCAATGATATTCGTATTCGTACTGACTACGGCAATACTACTTGTATGTGTGGATGCGCTTTAAACCCCAAACCCTAAACTAAACCCTAAACCCTAAACCCCAAACCCCTAAACCCTAAACCCATGTGTGGATGCGGAAGCGTCCTTCCAGCGCCCGAGGTCGCTGCGCATGCCTGCGCCCGACGGGTCGCCAAGATCTGCGCCGCCTGGGAGGCTGAGTGTTTGCTTTGCTTACTATACTTAAAGGATCATGGGACTTAGTAACTAGGGTTATAACTAGGGTAACTCTACTTATAACTACTTATAACTCCAATTAAGGTACTTATAACCCTACTTACTTACTAAGTCCCATGATCCTCCAAGGGGCCTTGAAAGGGGTCCAGAAGGGTTACGATAAGGGCTACTACAAGGATTTAGTGTAGGGGCCTGAAAAATTGGAATAGGGTCATAGGAGGCCAAAAGGGGTTTTAGCCTATGGGGGTTTGGTAGGGATTAGGGTTCCCATAATAGGTTTCACAAAAGGAATCCCAAGGATCTTAAACCCCCCCTTTGGCCTCCCATCATAGGGTTTTGGGCTCTTTTTTGGAATAAGTATATTAACGAACCCTGAGAGTAGTTTTGGTAACTGTTTAGGCTTCTACGTTCACCCTAAACCCTAAGCCGAGTTTCTGACCTTGCCTCACATGCTGATGAGGCCAACCAGGAAGAGGAGGAGGAAATGGATCCATCCGAGCAGAGCAAGTATTTCGGAATGTGCTGCCCTCAGAGCTTTGATGGAGAGGGCTTTAGGATTTAGGGTTTAGGGGTAGGGGCTTCAAGGTTGAGTTGAGGGGAGTTTTAGGCAGAGCTGAATCCTAGGACGATCGACATGCCAAGCCCGACAGCCCTGCAGTGACAGCCTTGATGCTTGAGTGTTGAGGTGTAGGGCTTTGGACTTTTTCGTCGTAGTGCCGGGTGGCAGCCACAGGAAACTCCTTGATGGAGTTTGGCGTCCGTGCATGACAAGACAAGATGAGTTCGGTGCCTCAACGCGAACCTTCTGGCGTCATCCAGTTCACTCCTTCAGCAAGATGGGCAGGAGCAGCAGTAGCAGCACTACACATCAAGATAACAATCACCGGAAGGCTATGCAGAATCTCTGTAGTTACTAGTTACGATACAGACAGCGCAGGTAGTATCAAACCTCAATATCGAGGCCCTATCAGTAATGGTAGCGAGGCTGTCGTCATGGCATGTTACAACAACCTACAATGATGATGACGTCAGCGCCATGTTCGATGGCAGTCGTAGGCCGAATGCTACTATGAATCTTCGAGCACTAGCCACATCAGCTCCCCAGAGAGCCCAATACCCCTTAACTAAGGAATATGGCTTAAATTATAATTACAGGGCTTCATATTATGATTTAAGCTATATTCCTTAATTAAGGGGTATTGGGCTCTCTGGGTCAATCATAGCAACATCCATAATCTAGGAGGACAGGTGTACTCCCTAATCTTAACCGTAGCACACCCCAAGCACAAATACAGGCCGGGCCACTGGCGGGTGACTACCAGGGATGGCAGGCTCGATGGGTGACTTTACGGTTTGGGAGTTCAGGGTTTAGGGTCTTTAGGGTTTACCTTAACCCTGAAGAACCTACCTTTTTGAGGACTTAAAAAAGGAAATCATAATGGGGAAGCCTGGTTATTCAGGGTTAAGGTAGGGTTTAGTTCTCCAGGCCTTGTGGTGACTGCAGGGCTTTGGGGCTTTATTTTAGACTCAAGGTACGGCCTTGGGGTTTCAAGGGTTATTTAGGGACTAGTGGATATATAATATGTAGGAAATATATCGACCTCTATTGTCTGTATTTCCAGACCAAAGGCGTAAATTGGGGTCTAGCTTATCTGAACTCTCACGATTCAGGTTTAGGGTTAACGGGTTTTGGGGATTCAGGTTTACGATCCTAACCTGTTCCCGCGCCCCGAGGGACCCGGGAATTTGCCATGCGAGGCGCTTTGGGCGAACAGTGAAGATCCCTGATGATGAGGCGCACCGCGAGTCAACAGATGTTAAGATGCCTCTAATATACAGGCCTTAATAATTAGAATAGGGTTTAGAACCCTATTCTAATGGGGCCCAGTATACTATATTTATAACAAGGAACCCCCAAAGCAATATTGGTAAGTTTTTAGCCCTCTACAGTAGCTTATTGAGGCAGTCGGGGTTTGGGTAGAAGGCTTAGGAAGAGTCGACACCTCCAAGCGCCTGGCTGCCAGTGTTTTCAACTTTCGGAGCTAGCGATTGGAACTTCAGAAGGCTCTAAGCACCTGGAACCCGTGACCCGTGAATTGCTCAAAACTGAACCCCGAAGTTTGTAAAGCCTAAACTACCAGAAGTCCTCAACTCTAAACATCTTTCATTTCATTTCGGCACCCTAATTCCTCAACGCTCTTGGAAAGTTCAGACACCCAACTCCGAAGTTTAGTCGCTAAGAGATTCTTCAAGCCTTCCTTGCTGAGAGTTCAGGGTCTACTTGGAGGTTCACGGGTAGTTATGAGTGGGGTTATGAATTCCCTTATCTAGATCATAACCACAGTTATCCTAATAGCTACCCTTGAACCTCCAAGTAGGGTTTATCATCCAAGCATTACGTACTATCGGATACTCCGTCTCGCAGCTTTTTCTGTCAATCTCTCTATTGAGCCGGTGCGTCTGTGCATGCCTAGATGCGGTATATGTATGTAAGCATATAACATGCCCGCATGAGCTACGGATGGAAACATAAATGGGTACATCAGCATTATCCCATAGGGCATAAGCATGTGTTTGCACAGTTGTAGATTCTAACTGTCTACTTACCTAGCGACCTGGCTCGCTCGGCAACACTAGCTGTATGCAACTTATGTATGCATGTGTGTATGTGCAAACATGTATAGTGTATGTATGTATGTATGTATGTATGTATGTATGTATGTAATGTAAATGTATACTTGAGTAGATAGATAGACGGTCAGACAGAAAGACAGATAGACAGATAGACAGATCGACAGATCGACAGACAGACAGACAGACAGATAGATAATACAGATACCTCGAAAACAGAATTAGAAAGCCACGGAGGCGGAGAGAGAGCGAGATATTCGGCTGAATAGAATGAGACAGGGAACCACAAAGAGTACGATAGATATAGCGACACAGAAAGCCAGAGAGAAAGAGAGAGAGAGAGAGAGAGAGACAGAGAGATGCAGGTGTATTGTCGGCAAACAGGAGGTTTCAGAAGTATATATTCAGCTGAACATCTACATAGCATAGGCTTCAGGCACAAGAAACACGCAAAGGTCAAAGGTGCACATAGTCCCACCGAAGCCCCGAAGCCAATTTCTTCAAGTGTCACACCCGCAGCTCGAAACCCAATCTCCAAGACCCCCAAAACCAGCATTCACACAAGTTCCACACAGACGTCGTCTTTCAATCAAGCAACCCCAAGCCCTGAAGCCAAAACCCGACGCCCGAGACCTCAACCCAAAACCACACCCACTATCACCGCCAAGCGCGAGGAAAAGGATCCTCTCAGCTTAGCTCTTGCTTTTGCCAGGGATCCTTCATTGGTTCGCTGAAAGGATCGAAGTCAGAGTCTGCGATGGCCGAGCCTGCCTTGTTCTGCGTGTTCTGTGTGGGGTGTTGCGCGTTCAGCTAGTAAAAACATGCCATTGTTTGTAGTCCCTATATGGGGGTTTCCGAAAATAGGGGACCCTAATATAGGACCCAAATAGTAGGATCCTTATTATAAGGACCCCCAAACAAGGTACCCCTAATTTTCGGAAACTCCCATATATTTGTCCTGTATTTATCAGGCTTTGGGCTCGAGGCTTTTTGGCAGTTGGGATTTGGGTTTAGGCCTGCAGGGTCACCGCTTCCTGGAGGGTTTCGGTAGTATGTCTTATCTTCGCGAGTTTCAAGAGATGAAGGGACCTCAATAGTTTATATGGGTGGTTGTCAAAATTAGGGTCCCTTTTTGGGTCCTTATTCTAATACGGCACCTACTATTGAGGAGTCCCAAAGAGGGGAACCTTAATTGTGACAACTACCCATATATGTTTATATGTAGGATCCTCCTCACAGTACAAGGACCCTCACATTCGGCCCTGACGCTATACCTGAAAACCTAAACCCTAAACCGGCACCGTAATTGTCTAAATCAGCACTATACCCAAACCCTAAACGCTAAGTTAACCCTAAACCCTGCACTTAAAACCTGTAGCCCCACCCCTGCAGACCGCGTCCGGGGGTGTTGTCAGGTGCCTGTCTTGGCACACTTCGTTTGGCCAGTCGGGTTCATGGTTCGATAAGGTTTCTGCAAGGGTTCCGTAAGGCTTCTGCATAAGGCTCTATAAGGACTGAGGTTTAAAGTGGTTTTGGGTCATGGTTGACGTATTAAAGTATCGTTTTCGACTCAGGCTTCAGGCAAGGTTTGGGGTCTAGGGTGCCAGGGCTATGAGTCGAGCTTCAACACGATATCTCGAAGAACAGCAGCCTTGACACTGAACCCCTAAGCCCCAAGCCTTAGACCCTTAAACCCTAAACTTAGCTCCGAAAGCTTGGATGAGAGGCAGCCCGAAAAAGGAGTTCAACAACAAAAACTAATCCCTGACACCCTTGTCTACTTCGATTCTCTAAGTTCGGAGACTCTCACCTTCTTCAGTTTGCAGCTCCAGTGCGCAAGGTCCGGAACATCATTCCTGGTGGTATGCCATGAGTCGAAGTGTTAAGTGTCCTACCGACTCTTCGATATTTTCGACAATTGAAGAGGCCAAAGGCAATTAAGGGATCCGGAAACACGTAATCGGTTTCTTGCTGCGAGGATTCTTGAACATCCCCACGCACCGCTCTCTGAACCCGAATTCAAACTCTCATCCCCCACTTCCAACCGCCACACTGCTGTGTATCTAACAAGCTGAATTTCTCAACCCTAGCCGAGCCTGATGCCGGTACGTGCATGTCTCTCTCTGTCTTTCTCTCTCTGTCTCTGTCTCTCTCTCTGTCTCTCTCTCTGTCTCTCTCTCTCTCTCCCTCTCTCTCCCTCTCTCTCTCTCTCTCTCTATCTCTCTATCTCTCTCTCTCTCTCTCTCTCTCTCTCTCTCTCTCTCCATATATATATATATATAAAACAGCAGTTCTGCTGTAACTGTATCCCCGAAAAAGAGGGTTGAGCTATACCCTCTTAGGCTGTGTAGATACCAATGATTTGCCAGCAGAGCCCTTTAACGCTGAAACCGAAGCCCCAGACACTATATAAACCCTAAACCCCAAACCCTAAACCCTAAACCCTAACCCCGGGAACCCGGGCCCTGAGTCCTGAACCCTGAACCTCAACAGTGCCAGGAACCCGATCCTCTCGGCACCCTGCCCAGCAAGGAAGCTGGTGTACCTGTGCAGCAGAATGAGTGTACTTTATTTGTGTTGCATCAGGTGTTGTAAGGGTGTTCTTGATTTATGGTGTTTTATCAGGGATTCTTGGCTTTTGGCAGAATGACATGCTGTAAGTGAAGGGCTGATCAAGTCTTCATGGGTCTTGGTGGAGTTCAAGACGGGGGTCTGAACAGAACGACGCTCGTAAATGGACCACCGGTACTGAGAATCCCGCCACAAAGTCCACCCTAAATTCTAACTCTAACATGTTGCAGAACAGAATCTTATTGCTGTAGTCAAAGTCATAAGAACTGCTGCAGTATGTACAACGACTGTCAAGAGGTTTGTTACAAACGCAGTGGTCGTCTTCTACGGCAAGGTTGCAAGGTTGGGATGCTATTCAGTATCGTGGATCTGCTGATCTTGACCTCTGGCACTCCGGCGCATGCAATTCGTGGAGAACAAAGCAGCATCCCGACATGACGAACTCAACCGAAGCATCTAATCCCACGCCCTCGGAAGTTGAGCGTGCAGTGGTTGATTCCGCCTAGCAACCAAGAGGATCGCAGCGCAGACTGGCGAACACATCCGCCCCACGTGGCACGATCAGTGATCAGTGCAAGTATTGGCCTGACCCCTAAACCCCCATTCTTGAGCCCCAAGCCCTAAAGCCCTGAATCCTCATGAGCCCTGTAAAGACGTCATCTGGCAAGGTGGCGGAGATTCTTAGATTCTACGGGCCAATGTAGGGGGGGGGGAGGGATGCAGGGGAGGTTGATGGTGGGACGAGGATGAGCTATAATTAACCCAGACCTTCAGTCTTGCTTGACCTTGGGGTTTAGCGAGTAGGTCAGTGTTGCTGGTGTCAAAGTTCACCTAAAGCTTAAGTCGCAAACCTGGATGTTGGGCTCAAGATGGATCGAGGTTGTTGGGAGCAAGGACAGTGGCAAGCCCGGCAGCAAGCCTTCCAGCAAGCCGCCCCGTGGCGGCAGTGAGATAATTTAGTGTCAGGGTTTAGGGTTTAGGGGGGTTTATGGGTTTAGGGGTTAGGGTTTAGGGTTTAGGGACCGCAGGTTATTCGGGTTGAATCGGCTTTTCAGGCTTAGGGCTCTTAGGGCTGTCATGCCTCAGGTTCCAAGCTTGATGTAATATGTCGGGTTTACTTCTGTGAAGTATCGATGCCTGAACCACTACATCATAGCCGCGGCGTGCCTCGGGTTTCGCGAAGATCATTCTTCACGTAGAGGATGCGGGGCGTAGGTTTAAGCTTGAGGGTCCAGGGTTTAGGGGCCAGAATTTTAGATTTTCCGGTCACCGATTTCAGTGTAGCTGGTGCCAGGAGTCACAGCTTGGAGGTTTGGGAGTTGTGCAGCAAAATGCAGCAACTATAGCCTCTAGCAGTGGTAGCGACAAGCATGCTACTCGCACAGGAGTAGGACACGAGTCCTAGTCTTACCCTCCGATCCCACGACTAATCATCGTCATCGTCATGTTCTCCGTCATCATCATCGCCATCACCAGCATCACAGTCATAACTGCCACTATCACCACCAACATCTTCATCACCATCAGCATCACCGTCGCCACTGTGATCGTGATCGTCATCATAACCACCATCACCATCATCATCGTGGCCGCCATCATCACCATCATCATCGTCATCGTGGCCGTCGCCCCAAGTCCAGATCATCAGCATCATCACCAAAATTACATTGATCGTCATCATCGTCAGCAAAGAACTCACGACAACTCTGCTGCCACTGTCCCGATACCATCTACCACTCTGATTAAAGTATTTCGGAGTATCCGCGACATTCTCAGACACGTGAAGGATGATCGCAAGTGCTAGCACAAGGCTTTGAAACCATTTACAGGTTCGTGGACATTTTGCAGTACGTATCGTTTCTTAACACGTCCCACAGCAGCTTTACCACTATGCAGATCTTGAGCAATGCCTATACTGTTAACAAGCTGTATTACGCCCAACGATGCACTGCTTGAAGCTTCTTTGTGGTTGTCAGGGCAGCTGTGCTTCCGTATGGCTATGCAACGCGAAAGCTTCATGGTCTAGGGTTTAGGGATTGGGATCTAACGTAGGGACCTGATGAAAACCCTGGCCCTATGACCCCAGTATGGTAGGATCCATATTTAATATCAAGACCCCTAATAATTGAAGACCCACTGTTTCTTAATCAGGCTCCTACTCGGAGGATCATGGGACTTAGTAAGTAAGCATATATGTACCTTAATTGGGGTTATAAGTAGTTATTAGTAGAGTTACCCTAATAAATAATCACCCTAGTTACTAAGTCCCATGATCCTTTAAGTAGACCCCAAACCCTAAACCCCATAGATCCCTTTAAGAAACCCTATAGATCCCTTTCGTGAGCCCTTTGTTATAGCCCTAGTTACTAAGTCCCATGATCCTTTAAGTAGGCCTTAAGCCCTAAACCCTAAACCCTAAACCCTATAGATCCCTTTTGAGAGGACCCTTACTAAGTCCCATGATCCTTTAAGTACATTAGGGCTTATCCTCGGTGCCGAGGCCGAGCAAGCCCGGGAGCAAAGAGGTTCCCACGGAATCCAAAGAGCCGGTGGGGACCCTGGGCCTTTAGGGTTTAGGATTTAGGGTTTAGAGGTTTAGGATTTAGGGTTTAGAGGTTTAGGGTTTAGGGTTTAGGGTTTAGGATTTAGTTTTTAGGGTTTATAGGGGTTTATAGGGGTTTAGGGGTTTAGGGGTTTAGGGTTTAGGGTGTAGGTGGGTTTAGGGTTTAGGGTGTAGGTGGGTTTAGGGTTTAGTGTTTAGGTGCGTTCATAGGGTCCAAAACAGGCTAGGAACTCTTGATGTAGGGTTTAGGACCTCTAGGATCTAGGGTTTAGGATTTAGGATCTATATCAAGAGCTCCTAGCCCTGTACTACGGTTTAAGACCTTTAGGGTTTAGAGCTTAGGGTTTAGGGTGGTCTAACATAGGGATGGGAACTTTGATATGGAGTTTGGCACCTGTAGGATTTAGTGTTGAATGATGGTCGCTACCGCTACCTTATCATAACAGCTATGCTACAAGACCGTGGATCCTAGGCCTGAGTGTTCTTTGAGAGTCAGGTTTACTTGAGGCCTCAAGTCGAGGCCGGGGCTCCCCCCACCCATCCCCACAAAACAAAGACTAAGCAAAACCTTGAGCCGTACTTGCCCTACCCACTCTGCCGAACCCTTATCCCGAAACCCTAAACCTTAGACCGTATGTGAACCCCTGAACCTTTATCCCTAAACGTTAAGCCTTATATAAACCCTGGACCCGGAACCTCGGACCCTAACCGTACTTCATGTCACTGCCACAGGTGCCCGATGCGGAAGAGGAAGAAGACCTGGACCGTTTGGGAGTGGGAATTTGGGCTTTCAGGATTTAGGGTTTCAGTTTTTGGGGTTTAGGGTTTAGGGATCTAAGGCTTAGGGGTTCCTGTGCTTCTGGGCTTTAGGATGCAAGGACCCTACAGATAGGGGGTTTAGGGTGTTTGGGCTTCAGGGCCCAAGGACCTTGTACTTAAAGGATCATGGGACTTAGTAACCAGGGTTCTGATTAGGGCAACTCTACTTATAGCTACTTATAACCCCAATTCAGGCACTTATAACCTTACTTACTAAGTCCCATGATCCTCCAAGTAGGCCCTAAACCCTAAACCCCATAGATCCCGTTTAAGGAACCCCTATAGATCCCTTTAAGGAGCCCTTCTAAGGAACCCTACTAAGTCCCATGATCCTCCAAGTATAGCCCAGGGCTCTGACAGGGCACAGCTCAACATACAGGAGCAACATCGTTCGGAAAGTCCTAGACCTATATACACTGATTCTAGACCAAAAAGTCGATCCCCGTAGTATTAGTAGCAGTAGTATGAACTAGTGTTCTTCTTCTTGGTATTGGTAGCGGTAGTGGTACTGGTACTGGTGGTAGTAGAAGAAGTAGTAGCAGCAGTAGCGGCAGTAGTCGCAGTCGTAGCAGTCGTAGCAGTAGTAGCAGTAGTAGCAGTAGTGGCAGTAGTAGCAGTAGCAGTAGCAGTAGCAGTAGCCGTAGTAGTAGTAGTAGTAGTAGTAGTAGTAGTAGTAGCAGTAGCAGGAGTAGTAGTAGTAGTAGTAGTAGTAGTAGTAGTAGTAGTAGTAGTAGTAGTAGTAGTAGTAGTAGTAGTAGTAGTAGTAACTAGTAGCAGTAGCAGTAGCAGTAGCAGTAGCAGTAGCAGTAGCAGTAGCAGTAGCAGTCCAGTTGCCAAAGCAATCGCTGTTATTCTCAAGCAGAGACTGCAGCCAGCAGCGGACGCGCTCTTGTCGGAGTTGCCTCAATTCGCCTACCTGCAGAACAGATCGGCTCAGGATGCGCTGGATCGAGCGTTCACGCACTGCTGTCACGTTCAGTCGATTCTGCGCGCGCAGACAGCCACACCACAAACCCGATACCAGGGGCACACAGTCCTGCCCTGTAGGGGTGGCATCACTTTAAGTGTAGATCTGCGCAAAGCGTTTGACCTAATGCCCCGAGCCCATCTCTTAACGGCCTTACAAAACTCCAAAGCCGATCCAGCGCTGGTGTGGACAATAATGTCCCTGCATTCGCATGCGCAAATGCAATTTTCCTTCGGACCGCACAAAACCACCATTGACACAGAGAATGGTATACGCCAAGGGTGTGGGCTTGCACCCACCCTGTGGTCCATGTTTACTGCGGTGGTCATGGTTCGCCTTCTGGAACAGCTCTCGCCAGAGGAACTGTCAGCATTTGCCGACGACTGGCTCTTTCAATGGGTCATCAATAAGCCAGAGGATGTAGTTAGAGCGGTGCGATTGGTCGGTTTTGTGCTGGATGTTTTGCATGAATTTGGGATGCAGCCGAGCTTGGACAAAACAGTCATACTTATCAAGCTTAAAGGCAGTCAAGCCAATCGAATCATCAAAGAACATGTGTCTCGCAAGCATGGCAAAGGCAAGGTCATCAAGATTGCGACCGAATCCGGACAAGTAGAGCTTCCTGTAGTTGAACAGCACACCTATCTGGGCTGTCAGCTGAGCTACACCTGCTCTGAACTTCTTACGATCAAACATAGGGTTCGGCAATCTTGGAACGTCTTTAACCGACTCCTGCCTTCACTGCGCAGCGTCGGCCTTACACGTGCCCTCAAATTGGAAGTTTGGCGTGCATGTGCATACGCCAGTTTGATGTATGGACTGGATTGTGTTGTGTCCTCGGGGGCTGGTTCGGTTCTTATCAGCAAAACTGTAGCTAGGCAACTGCGGATGGTCATCAAAGAACCTGTACATCTTACCAGGGAGCCTGCACAAGTGCTCTTTGATAAGCTTTCAGTCATGGACCCCCTTAAGGATCTTGCCCAAAGGGCATTACGGCGACTGCACAATTGCCGCTGCGGTGTCATGGTGTGCCTGCAACCTGCGCGGGTTCAGTCCAGATGGCAGACCCTGGACCATTACTTCTCACAACAAACACAAGACACGCAGGCGTCCGTTCTTCCAATGCTGTCACACCCAGCTGGCACCCAGGCGCATCTAGTTGCAATAGCACATCATGTGGAGCCACAGGCATGTCCGCACTGCGGGCTCTACTTTGATTCCCTCAAAGCAGTCCGAGTTCATTGCGCACTAAAACATCCCAAGCCCGAAACAGACGAAATTGCAGTAAGCCTACCCCCGCCAAAACGCACACAACAACAGATGCGTACTGATTACATGTGTCATGCCCTGAATGGCCTTCCCACTTGTAAGCACTGCCAGTGGAACTTCACTTCCTGGCCGTCCTTCTGTCAGCACTTTGAGCGCAAGTGTTGCTCGGTGCTACACAGTCAGTCACAGCAGGCATCGGACAAAATGGAAAGTTCAGCAGTGTCCAGTGCACCCGTGCCATCCCTATCTACTCGGATTTGCACACCTTCGGATCCTGCAGTCAAGGCCATTGCTTCCCTGAGTGATCTATGGTGCCTGCTGTCAGCCGATCTCGTTCAGCTTTTATCACATACGGATTGGAGGTCAGTTGCGAAGCACTTTAGGGCGAGCGATCAGAACCACTGCATGCTTTGCAATCAGTGGCTTGCAAAGCCCAACTATCTCACGAGGCATGTTAGTGTGCAACATCCTGCTTTGCGCACCGTCCTCAAGGAGCTGCCGAGCTGGCTAGCAGAGCGTAGAGCCACAGTCTTCAGCCCGTGTCAGTGGTGCCGCCAGGACTTCAGTGTGCATCACCACAGCAGGGCTAAGCATGTGCAGTCCTGTCCCACACTCATCCGGACAGGCCTCTTAATCCTTATGCACAAAGCCTTTCAAGCCTCGCAGGAAACAAATGGCCGGCATGGAGGCGGAACTGCAGGACGAGCCCGGGACGGAGCTGTTGTCTGCCCAGAAGCAGATGGCAATGATCCAGAGCATGGCCAAGGCCAACCCCACCGGCAACCTGGGAGCGGGAGCGCAGCAAGTTCAGCAGGAGGAGGAACGCCAGAACACCTCGGAGCCTTCAGCCCCCTCAGCGCCGACGCCGTCGCAAATGGACACCAGCAACCGGGACCACAAGCGCGGCTACCACACCGAGCAGCAGAAGGAGACCCCATCCGGCAACGGCAACGGTCACGGAAGGGCCCCAACAAGTGGCCGAAGACCAACTACAAAGGGGGACACTCCACCGATGGTTCCGGCTGGGGAAGCCACAAGAACGACTACTGGAGCAAGCAGTCATGGGACAAGGGCCAGGACAAGGAAACGGCCCAACTGGCCAAGCTCTGCACCTCGATGGCTCGCCTCGTTCTTCGTCACGAGGACCAACAGTCGATCGACCGCTCGGAGAAGGGATTTATTCTTTTCTGCCAAGCGAAGGGACTCCTCTCCATTGTCCCGGATCTGAAGAGGACGGCAGAAGCCTGGACGCAGCAGAAGGAGCAGACACCGGAGCAACTCACGCTCCCCATGCGGTCAGCTCTCCTGCACCAGCTCGTGGAGGTCTGGTACACCAGGATGGAGGCGGTTCCCCAGACGGAGGAATCGCGCCAGAATGCCCGGGAAATGCTTATCCTGGACAGCTCCGGCAACGTACCCTATCTCCAATACAACCGGGAGGAGCAGAAGCTCGAGATCAAGAAGGACCGCGACCCAATGACACTGGAGCGCATCCTCGAAATGCTCCTGGAGCTCAAGGACCTGGTGTTGCTGCCGCTGACCACGCTGCGGTTCCACGCGGCCCGACGCAGGGCCTTGCAGAATCCCGGGGAGATCGTTCCCATGATGCTGGAGGTGGGCCTCCGGACTTCGGAGGCGGATCGGGCATGGAACATCCTGGCTCGACTGAGCCACAGTGGAGCCTGCAGAGCAGTGGCGCTGAGCCTGCGCCAAGAACGCCTGGGCCGCTCCATGCTCGCCCAGAATCTGCAGAAGATCCTCGAGGAACTGTCAGGAGCCTAGCACTCGGGAACACCAGTAACTTCTGCTACAGCAATGCCTCCTTTCTTGCCATTGCCTGGGTGCATTGTTTGCTTATGCAAGGGATGACTCGGAGCTCTAGTGAGGGGTTGCTTGGCACGCGCCTGCTTGCGGTTCTTGCAAGCCTCAAACGGAGGAAAGGTGTGATTCATCTATGGCAGCAAATATCTTGGAGAGCAATCCACATAGGCTGGCAGTCTCCCACGCAACAGCATGACATAGTTGATTATCTTCGGTTCCTCCGACCTTCGCTGCTTTCGGATGCAGTTGAATGCCACTGGGAGTCACGACTGGAGCAAGATAACCAAATTCTTAAGATTGAAGATGGTAATACTTGGCCTTTGTGGTTACCTGATCCCCTAAGACCCACTTCACTGCCCCACATTAGCCTACAAAGCCTAGTCGATGCATGGCACCAGCATCAGGAAGGGCGACAAGGCTTGCTTAGTGTTCCGCCTGTCTTGCTGCTACAGGTCAATCGTTTTGGCGTAGGTCACCCCGACTCCCTAGGTAAAACCTCTGCTAGGGTAGTTCCCGAACCACGGGTTGTAATTCCCAAGTTCCAGAACGATCTGCGGCAGCCCAATGCGCTGGAAGTTGAGCTGGTCTCCTTCCGACTTGCAGCAGCATTGATGCATGAAGGCTCCGATGCGAGCTCGGGGCACTATAGGGCGGTGCTGTTTGACAGCAGCATGCAACTCCTCACTCAGGACGCTGTACCCGCAAGCCGCATCTGCAGCGAGACTCAGTGGTCTCACATTTATACCAATTGTTATGCCTTTCTGTATGTGCACTGCCCTGATGCCACTAGTCCCTAATTTGGGTTATAAGTGCCCCAGTCTGTGCCAATGCCGAACAGCATAGTCAGGTCATTCCTCACACTTGTACAGTTGTGTGTGATTTTTGCTCAACGTACTCCGGCACTTTACACAGACCACGGCGCTCTCTTCTTTGGGGCCCTCGGGCCGGGAGAGCGTCGTAGAACATTTTGGACTTCACAGAAGGTGGAGTGCGCGAAAGCGCCGGGATGCAGATCCTGCCCCAAAACTTGGACCGCCAAGCGAGACATCTTCTTGCTGCGTTCGGAAGAAAAAAAAAGCAGTAGCAGTAGGAGTAGTAGTAGTAGTAGTAGTAGTAGTAGTAGTAGTAGTAGGAGTAGCAGTAGCAGCAGCAGCAGCAGCAGCAGCAGCAGCAGCAGCAGCTGCAGCTGGAGTAGCAGTAGTAGCAGTAGCAGTAGCAGTAGCAACAGCAAAGGCAGAAGTAGCAGCAGAAGTAGCAATGTAACAAGCTGAGCATTGATGATAGTACACTGCGAAAGACAGACTTCACAGGAGAGCGAGCCGGAGCCGCCTGAGCCAGAGCCGACTTTGAAAGACATTCTCGAGGTTCAGCGGTTTAGGGTTTGACTCATGAGGGTTTGAGGTTTTGTTGTTGGGTTTGGGGTTTGGGGGCTTTCGGTTAAGGGCGTGTGATGGGCAGTTTGACAGATAGGTAAATGCGTGATATTAAAGACCGTAGGCGGCTTCGAAGGCACTGCTAGTGAGCTCGTGCAGACGATCGTTCGCATAGGAGTTTGGGGTTGCTTTTGCAGCTGTGCCCTTCAAGGTTTTTGGAGGATTTCGTGCTTTCGTTGGGGCTGAGAGTGTCTTGATCAGCCGACCAGAAATTGGCTTGTCGGTCTGTCCATAAACTTGGTAAACCCTAGATGGCCCTAGATACCATCGGGTGTAGGCAATGGTGAAAATTTTTTTCGGGCCAAGAAAACCATGCTGCTTCAGGGTTTGGGGTTTAGTTTGTAGAATGTAGAATATGTGATGAAGGGTTTTGAAATTTGGGGTTCAGGGTTTAGGTTTTAGTGTTTAGGGTATAGGACTTAAGGACGAGGGTTTGGAGTTGGGGTTTCAGGGTGCTTGTTCGTAGTGGCGTTCCTGTGTTTGATGCAGACGGCCATGTTGAATTGTTGGCTAGCGATTAAATAGATCATGTTACTCGACGAAAAATCTTCTTGTTTACTGACTTGCACACGGTGTTTTGCAATAGTGGCGTCAGCCATGACTCTCCGGAAGGCCTAGCAGAACCACTGAGATCACAGGCGGTGCTCGTCGACGAGGGTGCGAACATCGAGTACGAGTTGGACCCCGTGCGATGCCTGGAGAGATTTTTTGCAAAATCATCTCGGAAGAGACCAGGTTCTTCATGGGAGCTAGTCACAGTCGGGGTTCTATACCAGCTTGTTTTCCCAATTTACTGGAAGCATCTATATCAGCAGCCAGAAAAAGGAAGAACTTCAGCAAACCATGGACCCCAACATATACCACAAGCAGTAGGATCCTCATCCAAAGGCCCCGTCTGGAAGCATACTCTAGGGGGCTTAAATAATTGCCTATACTTTGGGGGGGGGTCCTTATTATAATTGTAGTATAATCGGCCCCAACACCCTATTCTAATTATTAAGGCCCCTTTATTATCGGACCCTTCTAGATCCCTTATAGACCCCTTAAAGGAACCCTTTAAAGGAGACTTATTCTAATTATTGAGGCCCCTTTATTACTCCCAGTTTTTGAACCCCCGTGTGTGTCCGAGGTGCCGATGCTGGCGCAGCGTGATCCGCACACAGGGGTCAAGTCCATTTCCCACGAGGAGGCACTCGACTCAGCCAACTTGATCCAAATCTCCAAACTGTACATCACGATTGATCTTAGGCCAGCAAGCAAATGCATGATGCCAGATCTGAAAGATTGTGTGCCACATGGTTCCTCCAGACCGGCTGCAATTTCTGCAGCTGGGGGGTGGGACTGGACCTGCATTTTCGGCGGCTTACGGTTTAGTCACATTGCCGGTGTCCGAACCCAAAGTCTTTCTTTGCAAGCTCTGGAAACCTAAAGCACCGAAGTCATCATGCAATTCATGAGTCGGTGATCAACGTAGCCCTCTGGCCACTCGCAGTTCGCGATAAGAACGCTATCAACCCTTTGGGCCCTCAAACCTGCAAGCCCCAAGCTTAACACTGCATCCAGACATGAAGCTCTAACTCTAACCCTAAACCCTCAACATCCCTAAACCCCAAACCCTAAACCCTAAAACCCTAAAACCCTCCAAAACCTGAAACCCCCAACCCTAAAACCCCAAACCCTGGACCCAAAGCGCATCACCCTAAGCTTTCCTAGGATGCCAAGTAGTACCCTTATGCCCTTTTTGTAGTCCTAGGTTCCGTATAAAGTTACCCAATACCAAAAAGGGAGCCCCCTTTTATTCCTGGCCTACTGGGCACCCTAGATTAGACATTATAACATGGAGACATACCCTTCTAAACCCCTAAACCCTAACCCCTAAACCCCTAACTGGGCATCCTACGGTTGATGATATAAATCCTGCATGACCCTAAGGGCTCTAAACTATGGGAACTATGGTATATTCCTTATAAAGGGTAATGCAGGATTTTGTCCATCAACAGTAGTTTCCTTTCTTCCGCAGGGGATGCTGATCCTGGTGCTTCCGGGCGGCCAGCCCGGTGCCTGCAGTTTCTGTACTTGTCAGCTCGGAGGATCCTAACTGGAGGATCATGGGACTTAGTAAGCTTCCTTAAAAGGGCTCCTTAAAGGGATCTATAGGGGTTCCTTAAACGGGATCTATGGGGTTGAGGATTTAGGGCCTACTTGGAGGATCATGGGACTTAGTAAGTAAGATTATAAGTACATTAATTGGGGTTTTTAGTAGTTATAAGTAGAGTTACCCTAGTTATAACCCGAGTTACTAAGTCCCATGATCATTGAAGAAAGCCGAAAACCCAAACCCTACCTGGACCTTGAAACTATGTTTCGTTTTTGCCTGGTTTTGTGCGGTTTCGGTGAGCCCTAAGCCCTACAGCCCTGAACTCGAAGCCGGTAGAATGCTGGGGAGCGGCCCCTAGCTGTGAACTGCATCGAAGTCTCAGTCTTGGCAAAAGTCGCGAACTTCCAACTTTGTTTCCTGGGTTTGGAGTGCCATACTTGATTACTTTTTTGGGGTATCTGCTCCTACAAGGAACCGTTATGAAGTAAACGTCTATATATATATATATATATATATTTTTTTTTTTTTTTTGTTTTTTCTCCCTTGTTTCTTCAGGGTCCAGGGTTTTCCACTTCTGCAGAACCTGATTTCGAGCTCCCAAACCTCAAACCCTAGGCCCTAAAAAATTCCCTGAGTCCCAGACCTGATGACCCCCAAATTTTCAAACCCATAAACCCTAAACCCTAAACCCTATAAACCCTAAACCCTAAACCCTAAACCCTATAAACCCTAAACCCTAAACCCTAAACCCTAAACATAAACCCTAAAGTCCAAAGCCATCGCACAAAGTGTCCTCGCAGACCACCGGGACCCTTCAACGCAGTACCTTGTTGAATAATCCACTTTGGGGCCATCAGAAAATAAGGTAGCCAAAAGCCAGCACGGCATTGTCGTGTCTAGGTATGCACTGGAAGCATAAACGACTTTCATTTTCTGCTCTGACTGCTCGCGAACTGTAGCCTCCTTGAGATTCAAGCGGTCCGTTACAGGGTTTAGAGCTTTGGGTCTGTTGGTTTTATGCCTTTGACAGCCTTACTACACCTATCCCGAGCCCTTCAGCCGCTACTGCAAGGCATTCCAGAGTTCTGAAACCTAATCTTGAATCGGAAGCCTCAAATCCGCTAAGCCCGAAACCTCGGGACCTTGAAACACACGCATTCAGGTCGAACGTATGCCTTCTCCCGGATGGTACACGAATCATCAACACTGGCACGGAGGAGGGCAGCGAGGCGCTCGATTGGGTTTAAGGCTTTACTTAAAGGATCATGGGACATAGTAACTCGGGTTATAATTAGGGTAACCCGACTTATAACTACTTATATACCCCAATGAAGGTACTTATAACCTTACTTACTAAGTCCCATGATCCTCCAAGTAGGCGACCATCTTGTTATGCAGCCAGTTCTTGGTTGCTACAGTTCTGCCCAATGTTACTGTAGCTACGGCGACGATGCTTTCTACGGTTACCAGCACGATTTCTATTGCTACAATTTTGTCCAACATTGCTCTTGCTAGAGTAGCATAGAATTGCAGATGCGATGGTCGTTTCTCTGAGATGATGAGTGTTTGCAAGGCCTTCGGTTAAGAATGCTTCACACGAGAATGCCCTTACCAGTCTGCAAGTTGTCAAGAACCCCAAACTTTTCATCAAACCTCTACCCAGAGGCCCCATAATAGTTCCTTTTTGGGATTACCTCATAATCATAAGGTTCTAAAATATGAACCCCAAATTAAAAGGAACTACTTTGGGGCCTTAGGGTAAACCCTAAACCCTTTGGGTTTCGGGAGCCCCCCAGCTGTTGCCAGGTTACCGTCGAATCGGAGGGCTCCGCACGCGTGACCTGCTTCGTCAAGGAGCGCTTTGGGGCGAGAGTATAGAAAATCGAATCCGGTTTCGGGTTTAGGGATTTAGAGGTCGGGAATTTAGGGTCTTTTTTTTTGGTTGGGGGGTGTGGGGTTTAGGGTTTCGAGGGAAGTCTCATTAGTCTTATCAATCCTAGGGCTCTGGACAAGCACCCAGAGATTCCACTATCCCTTCCCGGAGGATCCCTTGTCAAGGGCCCCCGCTTTAGTTGAAGAAAAAGACGGGACCTCGAATAGTCAGAAATACTATTCCTGAGGGTTCTTTATTGTTTAGGGTTGACTGACTGACCAGTATACATACCCCCCGATAATTCCAGACTCTCTAAGCTTCTCACTCGTGTGCGAAGGACAGGGCATACGTTCCCAGCTCTTCCGTGAAGGCGCGGTGCGGGAGAGGCCAAACCACTGTAGCTGCGCGAAGGGCCGCAAACTCCACCGAAGTCTTTGCCACGCTATGAAACTAAGCTAGAGACCCTGTTTTTTTATCGTCTGAGCCTAAATCAGACCTTGTGATTTGACCCAGTGTCGTGTCAGGTACAGCAGCTGAAGCCATGATCATTCAGCATTCTCATGCCTGGTTCCAGTCGAAGGAATCAGTTCAGTACCGTTTCACTTCTTGTGCCCGGTCCGTGGTTTGGCTACGCAGTAGGGCTCTCACTCTAGATACTGTTCCGAGCGGAAGGAATACCTATTCTATTGATAATGTTAATGTTATTAGAATATTCTGTATGATCGTAGTTAATATGGAATGAATAATATATATATATATATATATATATATATATTAGGCAAACTATATAAACATGCTAGTTTTAATTCATGAATTACCATCTGGGGTATTGACGGGAATGTTGCAACCCTGAAAGCCTCATCTCTGAGCCAGGTCGAATGCGATGACGGGACGACTTTCCACGTTGTCCCACAGAGGCCGAATTGGGTTGAGGGCAACCTAGTAAAGGGAACTCCAGAAAGTTGGAATATGGTTTCAGGGTAGGATACCCTATAATTTACCATAAAGGGTTTAGGATAATCATATTCCGGCTTTCTGGCTTTTACTGTAGTCGAGTAGGTATCCTTTAACCTTTTGTGGGTAGTATAGTCCCTATATAATCCCCAAAAAAACCAACAAGGTTAACACCTTTAGTTGCCCATGATACCCGACAAGTAGGGCAAGTTCATCCTGCTGCTGTGCGGATTTTGTCTAGTTCTGGATCTCTCTTTGTGGGCTTCAGTCAGACGCCAAACGCAACAACCCTCGTTCGGACCTCCAGATTCTGAAGGACATAAGCCATAGATGATGTAAATGACGAGTCAAGTATTTCGCAGACGCACTTGATGGTCCGGCTTCAACACATGCAACAAGAAGATCAAGAGCATGTTTCTGCATGTTTCTTGAAGAGGGAAAAGCAGACCCCTAAATGCCTTCAGCCTTAGCCTGTTCATCCTTTAGGACTTAAACCCAATACTGGGGGGGGTTAATATTTTACTGTGAATAATATATCAGTTCTTAAGGAAGGACCCCCGCCCCCCTCCTGAAAAGAAGCATAGTCTACATAGTATTGGTAATTACGTAGACCCCTCAGCCTACTTGGAGGTTCATGGGTAGGAAGAAGTGGGATTATAAGTCCCCTAGTATAGATGATAACCAGAGTTATCCCACTTCTAACCCTACTTACAACTACCCATGAACCTCCCCTTAAAGAGCCCTTATAGAACCCCTTTAAGGGCCCCTACAACCCCTAGTGATAAACAAACCTACCCCGGTCAGCCCCTCTGCACAAGAAGCCAGGCTGAACCTCAAGGCGGAGCTTGTGTCCTGGCCAAAACAAGGGGCCTACTTAAAGGATCATGGGACTTAGTAACTAGGGTTATAATAAAGTTGAATAAAGGGCTCACGAAAGGGATCTATAGGGTTTCTTAAAGGGATCTATGGGGTTTAGGGTTTAGGGTCTACTTAAAGGATCATGGGACTCAGTAACTAGGGTTATTAGGGTAATTCGACTTATAACTACTTATAACCCCGATGAAGGTAATTACTTACTAAGTCCCATGATCCTCTAAGGAAGGGGGCTATGTCAGTACCTTAGGGTTCCATAAAAAGGGTCTAAGGGTACTTTAGGGGTCCTACTAGGGTTACTTTAAGGGGTATTACGGAGGTGTAATATAGCGGCCTTAAATAAAATTACCTATAATATTTTTGGGGGTTCCTTGAAAGGGTTCCTTTAAAGCAGTCTATAGAGATTTACTATCTGGGGTATTAAGGGGGTTTAGTATAGGGGACCAAAACTTTTATTCCAATTATTAAGGCCCTTTGTTAAGGGTGTTCACTTGCGAGCGTTCCCCTGGATACAGCTGCACATAGTTTAGGTTGCGTTTACGGTTTAAGGTTTTGAGGTTCAGGGGTTTAGGGGTTTAGGGGTTTAGGGGTTTAGGGTTTAGGGCTTAGGGTTTGAGGGTTTAGGGCTTAAGGGTTCAGGGTTTCAGGGTTTAGGGTTTAGGGTCATAGCGTATCCACAAGCAACAGGATGAGTGCATGAGGGAGGTGGGTATGCAGGTAGGAGATGCGTATGTACCGCGTATGCATATGTGTATGTGTGCATGTGTGGTGCATGTGTGGTGCATGTGTATATGTGTGCGTATGTGTGCTTGGTAGGCGGGCAGTCAGATCGGTTGATTGGTTGGTTGGTTGTCCGTGCACATGTCGTATACTTGGAGGGTCATGGGACTTAGTAAGTAAGGTTATAAGTACCTTAGTTGGAGTTATAAGTAATTATAAGTAGAGTTACCCTAATCATAACCCATCCTTTAAGTATGGAAATCCAGACAGGGAGAGGCGGAAGTAGGGTTTGCAAAGACACCAGACTCACAAGAGAAGCAGATTCTAGGGGCCTAAATAATGGGTTTAGGGGTTTGGGGTTTAGGGTTTAGGGGAGTTCCTTATTCTACCTCTAGTCTAATGGGCCCCTGATTATTGAGGCCCTATGAGCCAAGCCCGGACCCCCAATCCTCAGCCGCAAACTCCCACAAGTCCAAATCCCTAAGCCTAGAGCCCTGAACTCAAGCCCCATATTGCAAATGCCGGATCCGAAATCCTAAACCCTAAACCCTAAACAATAAACCCTCAACCCTAAACCCTAAACCCTAAACCTTAAACCCTCAACCCTAAACCCTAAACCTTAAACCCTAAGCCTTAAACTGGATCCAGGTACCTTCGGATCCTGCCCGTTTCCTGGCCAAGCTCCGGGGCGAACCGGACGAGGATGTCGCGCCCTTGGCATGAAGAAAAGCGACAGTTCCCCGGAGCTTCAACTTAAAGGATCATGGGACTTAATAAGGGTTATAATAAAGGGCTCTTGAAAGGGATCCATGGGGTTTCTTAAAGGGATCCATGGGGTTCAGGGTTTAGGGTCTCCTTAAAGGATCATGGGACTTAGTAACTGGGGTTATAATTAGGGTAAGTCCACTTATAGCTACTTATAACCCCAATTAAGGTACTTATAACCTTACTTACTCAGTCCCATGATCCTCCAAGTAACCTCTCGAACATCCCGCCCGCAGAGGTGGGTACGGCACCGGATAAGCTGAATTTGGCTGCAGCCCAGCTAAACAGCATGAAGGCGCACGAGTTCTGCACCTTGGCGGCCCTAGGCTTTTGGCAGGGCGAGTGATGCGTGGGTCTTCCATAGAAGGGGCCCCCACCCTGTAGTAGTGGTATAATAGGAATATAATAGGACCCAATATAATCCTTATAGTCACTGTTACAGGGTGGGGGCCCCTTCTAAGGTCTTCCTGGTTAATTTCGGGAACTGATTACGAAACCCTGGCCGCCCTGGCCCGATGACCCCCAATATGGTAGGGTTCTTATGGGTGGTTGTCAAAATTATGGTCCCTATCTGGGTCCTTATTATAGTACAGCACCGATTATTCAGGGTACCGAAAAAGGGACCTTCATTTTGACAACTACTCATACAAGGAACCCAAATCAGGTCCCAGGGTTTCTAAGTCAGGTTCCAACATTCAGAGAGTTCCCAAAGGGTCCAAAGTACCTGTATAGTAGAATGTAGGGTTTCTATATTAGGAATTATTATTATGATGTGGGGAAGTATTCCCCATAACAGTACCTAGGACCCTTTGGGAGTTGTGAAGTTGTGCTGTTGCATTGGGCAGATCAGCTCTTGCGGACTCTTGCATTGATTCAACTCAACATGGGAGTTTCCGAAAACTAGGGGCGCCTTGTTTTGGGGTCCTTATAATAAGGATCCTACGATTTAGGGTACGATATCAGGGTCCCCTATTTTCGGAAACTTCCACATGTAGAGCAAGGAGGCCGAAACCGCAACCATCCCCCAAACCCAGGCTTTTCACGCAGACCCTAACCCTGAAGCCTAAGCCCTAAATTAAGGCCGAAACTAAACCCTACAAACTCAAGGCTTAGACCGCCCACCCACAGCCAGAGTGGCAATAGCACCCACGCTCGTCCCGGGTTCTTGTCCGTACTTGGTTCCTTTGAGAACCCTCTCCTTCACCCTGCACCGGGCCGCCGCACTAGGGGACCTTAATAAATACCAAAATACTCTGGGGTTCCTTATCATGCATAGAGTATGGAAAACCACCCAAAAACCTGTTCTAATTACTAATGCCGTACATGAGACCCTTATAATAGCCCTCATACTAGCTCTTATAGACCCCTTTAAAGGAACCCTATTCTAATTATTCAGGCCCCCACTTCAAGGATCATGGGACTTAGTAACTAGGGTTCTAATTAGGGTAACTCTGCTTAGAACTACTTATAACCCCAATTAAGGTACTTATAACCTTACGTACTAAGTCCCATGATCCTCCAAGTAGGCCCTAAACCCTACACCCCATAGATCCCGTTTAAGTAACCCCTATAAATCCCTTTAAGGAGACCTTTTAAGGAACCTTACTTAGTCCCATGATCCTCCAAGTACAGTAACCCCTGCGGAACTCCGACTTCTGCCACCAAAGCTGGGGGCTACGAGGCCGAAACCCAGATCCCCGGGAGGACGCCTGGGTTTCCGGTCGTGACATTGATGATATAAATCCTGCATTACCTTAAGGACCCTACACTATGGGAATTCTGGTACATTCCTTACCATGGATAATGCAGGATTTATATCATCAACCGTATTTTGGGGATTTTAAAACGGGACCCTAAACCCTAAACCCTAAACTTAGAGAACTATCCAGGTAGAGTTTGTTGTTTCGGACCGGAGGCTTCCCGGAAATTTGTGGCTTCATACCTTCTTCTCTGGGTCCCGGTTTAGGGTTTAGGGGTTTAGGGGTTTAGGGTTTAGGGTTTTGGGGTTTAGGGTTTAGGGTTTAGGGGTTTAGGGTTTAGGGTTTAGGGTTTAGGGTTTAGGGTTTGGGGTTTTGGGTTTTGGGTTTAGGGGTTTGTTCTTTCAAGACTGCGCGATGCTCACACATGCATGGTGGCTTTGGTGTTTGCAGTTGGGGAGCAACTCAAGGACACAGTGGCGAGTCAAGCACAGAAGGGCATCGGCCTTCCCTATTTCCTCAACTGCCTCGTAGCCTTTGCAGAACCCATAGCAACATGCTGCCAACTTGTGACAGCCGCAACGGCTGCATCTTTCTTTGTCTCTCTCTCTCTCTCTCTCTCTTTCCTCTCTCTCTCTCTCTTTCTTTCTCTCTCTCTCTCTCTCTCTGCAATACTCCTTTGGCAGGCATGCACCGTGCTGTGACAGAGCATGATCTGACTTCTTCATACCGCCAAGGGGACGCGCCTTTGGATCTTGGAGGTGGCTCGAAGCTTGGCATGAGGTTTCGACGCTTTAATCCCAGAGAGCCCTTAATTTCCCTTAATTAAGGAATATGGCTTAAATTATATTTGGCTTCATCTTATGATTTAAGCTATATTCCGTAATTAAGGGGTATTGGGCTCCCTGGGATAGCGGAATCACGGATTGTAGAAGAAACATCCTTTGCAAGCAGAAAACGTGGGCAATGTGATAAAGTAAGTAACTCTGAGTGATGCAGTCCGCGGCGTGTGACGAACGTCCTTTGAGCCGGAAATTCTGGAGCTTGTCTCTCCGGAGATTGTCTCCCCGGAGGGCTCGAGGAAGTTGTCCAGTGGGAATGCCGATGCAGCCAAGCCACGGGAAGAGGCCATTGCTATCCTTTTTTCCGAAATGAAAGCATTTCGCCCCGAAGCTGTGCGAGCAACGTACGCATTTCAGGCACTGCAGAGGGTGGGCAGAGCACTGAGGGGAGGCACGAGTGATTTTTACCATCTGAGCCACACAACAAAGCGCATTCATGCTTTCTGGTCACACAGCTGGCATGGCAACAAGTGGATGAAGGTGGCAACTCTCCTGTTCCTTAGCAACTCCACGCCGGCAGCCTTGTTGGGCTTAGCGGCTTCGGTTCTGACAGCAGTGGCTGTTCAGTACAACTGGATACGATCCGACAGCTCTGTGAATTACTGGTGCCTGCCTGTTGGATCTGCAGCATACGCATTGGGCATGCTGTTTTGGCGTAGCCGGAAGCTGGTGTTCTTGGACAGGATTTGCATTCATCAGTCCAACCTCGAAAAGAAGGTGGAAGTCATGTTCAGTTTGGGGGCAATCCTGCAATGTGCAGATACGCTTTTGGTTCTGTGGGACCCGAGCTGCGGGCAGCGCTTGTGGTGTTCGTTCCTCATTCAATGTTATGGATCCTCTTTACTTTCTGCGGTTTGGGTCTACTTATACTTGTTGGGTATCGAGTTGGGATAAGTTTTCACTATAAATTCCTCTATTGTTTAATATGGAGACCTGCTTATAACTAATTTGGGGCACTGTTGAAATCGACATCTAGTTCGAAAGAAGAGCCCAGCTAAAAGATCCATTTTGTTCGCTCCGAAGAAGAGGGACAGGGTTTACCAATAGTTAGAAGAAAAAACCCTAAAACCAGAACCCCTAAACCCCTGAACCTTAAAACCCTAGGACAGGATCCATTTTCAGGGACCTATCTTCCTTGCAACCTACCCTACACCCAAACCCCCTAAACCCCTAACCAAACCCTAAATCCCCCGAAGACAGGATCCATTTTCAGGACCTATCTTCCTTGCAACCTACCCTAAACCCAGAATTATAGTATAATAGGCACAAAAACCCTATTCTAGTTGTTATAGGTCCCTATATTATCTTCCTTGCAAAGAACAGGGACCAAGGTTCGAGTTGGCTGGCTTCTTGCACTGCCAGCCACCCACACAGAAGCCACGCATCGTTCTCCGGCCGAGCATCTTGGGCCCTGTATTCTTTTCGGCCACGGCCGGAATGATGCTTATGTGCGGGACACAGCATCTTACAAATCGCTTCCACTCTTCGTTCCTGGCCTGGCTCGTCATCCTGCTTTCCTTTGCTCCAATGTGTTTCGCGGCGCACATCGTGCGGGCATATTGCCGCAGTGTTTCAACCATGCGGGATGAAGTTGCAAAGGTCACCTTGGAAAGTGCGCAATGCTACTGCTGCTCCGTGCAGCATAGGGACCCAGTCTCTGGCAAGGACATGGAGATCTGCGACCGAATGGTCTTGCGGAGGTGTATTGTGGAGTGGTTCGGCTCCGTTGAGGCCTTCGAGCATCGCGTCCAACATGAGGTCTTAGATATTTTGACAGACCAGCTCTCCAATAACATCTTCTCGTACCGCCGGATTGCTGAGGCCTCTAGTGTGTTCATGGCATTCTTCTTGGACAATGGCGGCGCATTTTGTCGAGAGGGAGTCTTCGATGTTTGTGCGGAAAGGTTGCTGAAGGGTGTGGTCTATTGGCTGGCTTCAGTCCCATGCATGGTGGCGGTGTCGTACCGTGTGGCATGGGCTTCAGTGCCAACGTAGGCTTCGAGTGTTGGACATGCTGGCCAGCCTAGCTGTGCTACTCAGCGCTGCACTCACGTGTTCTTCCTACGTCGCCTTCGATATCTTCTTGGAATGGATAATCCCACCCCCCGAAGGTGCCATGCTTCGCGTTGCGATCTTTGTGCCCATATCAGCGGCCATTACTGGTGTAGTATGGCGATGTCTGCCAGTGCTCGTGCCTGCTGCCAGCATCCCCAGTCTCGGTTCGACAGGTCCACCTGCTGCTGAGCAGCATGAATGCAGCCCAGGTGCCCGTGGAATTATTCCGTTGTAATGTTCTCAGCTACGAATACCAATCTGTGGTGCTGAAAGCATCAGTTTGGTCGGAGGTTCAAGTTTGCAGTGCGATGCCCAACAGGGCTCGTGCCTCATGCTAGCCCAGTTCGACGGCAGCCCAGGTGCCGGCAGAACTATTCCGTTGTAATGTTTTCAGCTACAATTGCCAAGCTGCGGTGTTCAATGCAGCAGTTTGGATGGACGTGCAGTTCTGCAGACGTGTGCCTGGCTGATAGAAGTGGAAGCTCTCCACTGTTGGGCTTGTTGATGATCTCCCCCTAAACCCGGCCCCTACATCCCCAAACCCTATAAACCTTTAAGCCGATAAACCCTGCACTCCTAGAGCTTTAACGCGCCAGGATAGCTACTCCACGAATGCCTCCGTGTTGATGAGACATGCCGAAGGGACCTTGGTGAACTCCAAGGCGCGTTTGTATGATCACTGGTTTGGGGTTTAGGGTTTAGGGTTTGGGGTTTAGGGTTTAGGGGTTTAGGGTTTAGGGGTTTGGGGTTTGGGGGTTTAGGGTTTAGGGTTTAGGGGTTTAGGGTTTAGAGGTTGGGGTTCAGGGTTTAGGCTTTGGATTCGGCCCCCTGGGGGCAAGATTAATACAGGGGCCTCACCACTACCTATGCTATTTCGGGGGTTCCTTGTTATAACTATAGTATAATGGCCCCCCCCCAAGCCCTAGTCTAATTACTAAGGCTTCGATAGTACAGGTTTAGGGTTTAGGGTGGCTTTCATGTTATGGTGGTTCTTGAGGTTTATCTATAAGGTTATGGTTGTTTTTCTTACGGGATGTATATAACTTTATGTGTTCTCTCTACCCGTAAGTTTCCAGAGGGTTTCTGCATCAGGGTGTCTTGAGGGCTCGTATGTGGCCTTAAACCTTCAACCCTAAGCCGGTTTCTACAGGGCTTCATGGGTGCAGATTCGAGGTTGGATGCAATCATAGGGATCCTTAGGGGTGTAGGGGACCATATTTCCTTAAATAGGCCTTGTTAGTCCTTATTATGGGCCTTAAGGCCCCCTACCCCCCCTCCCCCTACACCCCTAAGGATCCCTATGAGGTAACCCATCCCGGGGCTGTGGGCTTAAATTAAACGTGCTGGGAGCCGAATTAATAAGGCTTGTGGGATGTTTAGGGGTTTAGTGTGTTAGGGTTTAGGGTTTAGGGTTCAGGGTTTAGGGTTTAGGGTTTAGGGTTCAGGGTTTAGGGTTTAGGGTCTAGGGTCTAGGGTTTAGGGTTTAGGGTTTAGGGTTTAGGGTTTAGGGTTCGTATTCGTCTTATAGTTTGTGTACTTGTTTCTGTGGGGGGGGGGGGACGGGGGATGGGTGAAAGGGTTGGGGGCGGATGAGGCAAGGCTCTGTTTCGGAAGGCTTTCCCTAAACCCTAAACCCTAAACCCTAAACCCTAAACCCTAATTCTTTGGAGGCTGGCGTGTTCAGAAGTTCCTCCGATTTTTTTTGCTTCGAGGCTTGGGCAACAAACCACCAGAACCCCGGACTTCGGTAACCTAGGGTTTAGGGTTTAGGGTTTAGGGTTTAGGGTTTAGGGATCATCTCCCAACCAAACAAAGCCCTTTCCCAGCATCCTCCGAGCCCGAAGCTGCGATGCTTAAGCCCAACAAGTATTATAGGCACGGCCAAAGCCTGAGCATAGGATTTAGGATTTCGGGTTTGGGGTTTGGGATTGAGTTGAGGCTTTCGGAGGACTTTCGGTATTAATTGGGGCCTGAAGTTGAAGAGTTGGCTTGGCAGCCGCCATGAACCAGAAACGTGACCCGAACCAGATGGGGGTTTCCGAAAATGGGGGACCCTATAATATAGTACCCTAAATCGTAGGATCCTTATTATAAGAACGCCAGAATAAGGTACCCCGAATTTTCGGAAACTCCCAGATCGCCTGCAATCCCTAAACCCGAATCCCTCACAGCCCGATGTCTTTCCAGTCTGGGGTCTCCTGGTTTGATTGAACCATCGCGCAGGGCACCCTCATATCCTAGGATGCCCAGTAGTACCCTTATTCCCTTTTTGTAGTCCTAGGTTCCTTATAAAGTTACCCGATACCAAAAGGAGAGGCCTTTTTATTCTTAGGTTACTGGGTATCCTAGTATCTAATGGGGCCACTGCTAAGCCCAGCTGTTGCATGAGGGCTTGAATTGAAGATTTCTTCCAGCCTGAACTCTCAAACCCCGAAACAACCGAAATCGAAATTCTGCAGGCCTCAAGCGCGTAAACCTCAAACTTAAAACCGAAGACCTCACATACTCCTATACCCTGAGCTCTAGACTAGACCGAAGACATGAGACGGCCAGGGTGCCGGCGAGATTGAGCTGTTGCCGGGTGCGGTGCGGGCCTCAAAGGTTCGGGGGCATACCTAGGATTCAGATGGATTTCGATTTCGGCATGGAGTTCTGATGACTAAGCTTGGCAGTTCGTGTGAATACTTGCCCTAGACCCTGCTTCTACCAACTATTCTACACCAGACCCTAAACGCTGAACCGTGTTAAAACTGAATCCTACAGCTCGTAATCCTAGAACCCTAAAGGTTTGTTGTTTATTCCGTTCAATCATGCTCTGGCCGAGCTTATGACACGATCCGCTACTTCCTCAGCTGTTTTTTCTTCATATTCTTGAGCATTTCACGTTGCGCTTTCATACTCTTTAGGGCCAAGCTGTCTGGGCTTTGTCAGGCATTCCATTGCTTTCAGAGTCCACTGGACTGTGAAGTGCTTTTCGCAGCAAGATGTTGTGTAATTATTTATTGCTGAAGTCGCGTCTTTTCATGGTCAAGATGAGATTTGGATTCTTTAGCCCTAAACCCTAAAGCCCTATAAACCCTAAACCCTAAACGCCTAAACCCTAAACCCCTAAACCCTAAACTGACTTTAGCTGAAGGCCTGAAGTGCCCTTCATGGCTGCAGGCCTACCCAGGACCAGTAGCAGTAGTGGTAGTCGTCGAGTCACCGTTGTCATAGCAGCAGCAGCAGGTGTAGGAGTAGTAGCAGTAGGAGTAGTAGTAGTAGTAGTAGTAGTAGTAGTAGTAGTAGTAGTAGTAGTAGTAGTAGTAGTAGTAGTACTAGTAGTAGTAGTAGTAGTAGTAGTAGTAGTACTAGTAGTAGTAGTAGTAGTAGTAGTAGCAGTAGTGGTAGTGGTAGTGGTAGTAGTAGTAGTAGTAGTAGTAGTAGTAGTAGTAGTAGTAGTAGTAGTAGTAGTAGTAGTAGTAGTAGTAGTAGTAGTAGTAGTAGTAGTAGTAGTAGTAGTAGTAGTAGTAGTAGTAGTAGTAGTAGTAGTAGTAGTAGTAGTAGTAGTAGTAGTAGTAGTAGGAGCAATAATCAGTGGTTTGTTTTGTCAAGAGGATGATGTAGTGGTCACATCTTGCATCAGACAATTAGGTTGATAGCGGTCAACCCTTACCATGGCAAGTTCAATCAGCATCATGAGACCAGTGACAACGGCCAAGATGACAATATATGATAGGACAACTGGGCTGGCCATATGGCCATATGGGCACTGTGTCAATCTTGAGCACTTCCATGTTCGTCATCAACAGTCGAGAGTTCTTGTTTTAGCCGTTCACGTGAGCCTGTGACAGCCTCACATGAGCTCCGTCATCAGCACACGACATCGTCATCAATCCTCGCCTATGCCGACTGGCCGTTTGCCGCACAGCATTCTAAAAACAAAAACGCCCTGAAGCTGAATCGTAGACGCAACTATCCTGGATTCTCTGTGACCGGGTTTTGAGATCACTGGCATGGTGGGATCGCAGCTGGTTGATGTCGCTTGACCATCGGCATGTCCTCGTCCGATGTCCCATCCTACCTCATACAGTCTGAAGTTCAGACAGAGCTGGGTTTCCGGAGCTGTATCAGGCAGGTTGCAGTTCAGGGCTTCGGATCAGCCTCGTCTTGCCAAGGACGTGGCCGCGCTCGGTGAAAAGCAAGCCCTGAAGACCTTGCCGGACAGTGCCTGCTGGGGTGTCAGAAAGCTTTCCCAGTCTGCTTCGCGGAGATTAAAGACAAGTGGAACCAAGATGACAACAGCAATGAGTGGCGCTTGCTCTCACAGTCACAGTCGAGAGAGACACAGAGAGAGAGAGAGAGAGAGATAGAGAGATAGAGAGAGAGAGAGAGAGAGAGAGAGAGCGAGAGAGAGAGAGAGAGAGAGAGAGAAGGAGATCGAAAGTAAGTGCGGCGAAGATGATATCACTAGTGGAAGTGATTAAGATCACACTAAACGTAGTACTGATAATGCTGGTCACATCCGCAGTGAGATGCAACCAGTTATGTTGATGTTGCTAACCACACGAGAGGGTCTCGCAAGTTAGGTGTGTTTTCTACGGAATATGCTGCTGCCTGTACCCGCGAAGGGACCTTAATTTGATGATCTCCACGGAAGCATGTCGATACTGCCTTCGGGTAAAGGCACCTCACATTCAAGAGCACTCTGCCAAAATAATTGTTGGATATCACGGTATAAAGATAACTTGTGGGGTACAAGAATCACGTCTAAGTAGCTATCCCTTCCTGCTTCCTTGGATCCTGGCTTATCATTGGAAGGACAGCGGCTGCGTATATGTCGCTCAAGTGGACTACGACCGGGTCTATTTGCGGGACGAATCTGGGAACTATTTCGAGGCCAGTCTCATCTCGCGTTTTTGGTTTGGCCGGAGTGGGAAGGGTTCATCATGATCTTGGCCGCGGTTACCTGAAATCCTAAACCCGCAGCACTTAAACAGAATGAGCTGAAGGGCCATCGAGCTCTCGCAGGCCCCAGCTGTCAAAGAAGCTGAACGAGATGGAGAGCCAAGCGGAGTCTGTTGGACTCCGGTTGTAAGAACTTAGTAGCTGAGTGGATGCACTTTACGCTTTTTGGGATAATATTAATTACCCACTATAAACCTGAAAGTGTACACTGTTTGGGGCTTATGAACTCAGCAACTCAGGGAAGACTTCCAGAGAAAACGAAGGCTTCATCGCTGCTGCCTTTGATGTCTGTGCTGTTTGAGACCCCTTTCAGCAGAGTCCAAGCTCTGGACGTCGGATACTTGGAGGATCATGGGACTTAGTGAGTAAGGTTATAAGGTATAAGTAAAGTTTCCCTAATTACAACCCTAGTTACTAAGTCCCATGATCCTTTAAGTATGCCCGCAAAGTTATCAACAGTAACGGTAGCCAGAGGAATGGCAAACAGTCGACGAACAGAGCGAAATCAACTAAGCATAACAAAACCCTAAACCCTAAACTCCAAGCCGCGAAGGTTCGTGGCGACCAGTCTGTTGACTTCAAGCTGGTGGTATCCATGGGAGATGATTTCGCATCCCCTAGATGCAGCTCTGCTTGCGTTCGAGCTTCTGAGTTTAGTTTGCCTATTCTCATTCTTATGCTTGCTGAGTCTGATGACTTTGCTTATGTTGATGGTTCTGGTTACTATGATTATCATACGGACCCTTTCGGGATAAGGGGGACGGCGGTGGAGGGCCTCATTTCCATTTTTAAGGATCTGACTGATGATCTGACCAATAAGGCTTCTTCAAGGAACTACCCTCTAAGGGCCCCTATGAGACTATGATGACTATGGTTATGTTGAGAATTATTCTTTTAACTTATTATGGGTATGATGATAATTTCTTTTGTTCCGGCCTCTGGGGTTTCAGGGAAGTCACAGAGCCGATGGTCTCAGGGCTTAATGCTTGTGAGATCATCGGTATGCGGTCTTAAGGCTCAAGGGTTCCAGGTAAGGGTTCCTAAACCCTTAGCCCAGTCAAGGTCTAGCTGAGTTTTTCTCTGCATCGGGTGTTTGTGCTTGAATTATCCTAGAAAAACATAGCCTACCACATCACATCTTATTTTCTTCTTCAGTCCATGCATTGCGCTAAAGTAGCCTACGCGCTTACTAGAACAAGGATCTCCAAACCCAGACTCTTCAAGCCCATCCGGCCCCCTTATCTCCCATCCCTGAACCTTGCCTATAGTCTCCATTGTAGTCTTTTTTTGGTTTAACCAATTTTATATGTAGGATCCTATAAGGCAAGTCCCGAAAAGGAACTACAATGGAGACTGTAGGTACGAATTACTGACCCGACCTCAGCATGCTTTCTGAAAGGTGTGCATCCGCAGATGCCCTTCAAGCATCCGGATGCATCCTTTCTGCCGCTGCCCGAAGAGGCCTTTGAGCATGGAATTGCCCAACTCTGGTCCCCGAATCTAAGCCATTGATGCCAGGGTTTCCGACTCAAGCGTAGAAACCACGAATTCGAACCCCTTGAGCCGCAAATCCTAAACCCCTAAACCCCAAACCAGCAAGGATCCCTGACCCAGTCTCGCCTGGCTTAAACCCAATCAGCGTTTAGGGTGTTGGTCCGGCTGATGACCCTGAATAAGAGGATTTGTGTGACTGCTTATGTTTTTGTTCAGGGTTTCGGGCTTCGGTAAAAGGTTTGCAGGGCTTTGGGTGCAGCCGGAAGCGGCTTGGCTTGGCCTAGCATTGAGTCTTCGTGGTTTAGAATACCGTTTCATTACATATTCAGTAATACCCTGGCCCCTCAAAACCGAACTGGAAGAATCGTCGCTGAATGCATAGGACAAGTGCATGTGCTTAACATGACCGTCAGCTGTACCTACCGCCCGATTTCGGGCACAAAAGGTACGTCGGAGCGGGCTTTTCGTGAATTGAACACGCACGACGAATTCGCCGACAGCGACGACGACGGCGACGACGACGGCGACGACCTCTAGCGCCACTTCCACGACTCAGGAGTTCGAGAATAATTTTTCGCGTGTGTTTTTGACAGGATCCAATGCCCACGGCTTTTGGGTTACCATAATGTAGGGGCCGGAATAATTACCAATATTATGTTGGTGGTTCCTTATTATAGCTATGGTATAAGATACCCCAAAACCGTATTCTCATCATAAAAGCCCCTGTGTTAGGATTCCGAACCTGCACCCCGACATCGGCCCCAAACCGAGGGTTCGGGGTTGGGTTTCAGACTCATCAGACGTTCGGGCTCCTAAGTTGAGGGCTTACAGTAAACCCCATAAAGTTGGAACCCGGATTAAGGCCAACTAGTGCTGGGATTCCCTCTACATTACTCTTAAGGATTGAGGCTATTAGATTTCCAACTTTTCGGCTTCTACTGTAGTACTCAGGGGTTTAGGGCTCAGGGGTTTAGAGGTTTGGGATGAGCCCTTCATAGTTTCAGTATGGGGTGAAGCGATGAGGGCTTAGGGGTTTAGGGGTTCTGCGAGATCTTGCTCTAGGGACCTCGAATGCCCAACAGCCCTAAGACCGCCATTCCAGCAACTCTTAACTCAAGAGACACCAGGTGAAACTTTCTAAATTCGCAGTATTATGGACTGGACCCCTGAACGCGAAACCCTAAACCCCTAAATTAAACCCCTAAACCCTGAACCCTAAACCCTAAACCAAATTTGAGTTTGCATGGAGGCCCCACCGCCTCGGCTCTTCGTGGTCTACGGCGACGGGGAGGTCCATGCATTTCTGCCTTGGAAGACGCGGAGTGGTGTTTAGGGGGGTTTAGGGTATAGGGTTTAGGGTTTAGGGGTGTAGGGTTTAGGGTTGAGGGTTTTATCGTTCTGATGCTTTTTCGTGATGTCTTCTCGAGTAACCAGTATTGTACGTAGGGGCCTGATTCATTACCATTCAGGGACTTCAGGAGTGACTTTATCGGAAAAAAACAGCTCCTTCAAGCTTACCCCGCCTTTCCATCGCACTTGGTAGCTGCGCCGGCGCGCCAGCCAGAGTTACTCCGCTTTCTGCAGTGTGCAGTCGGGAGTGCATGGCAGCCTTAATCGAATAGTTACCATTACCATTTCGGGGTTCCTTGTTATATGTTTAGTATAATGGGTCCCAAAACTCTATTCTCATTAATAATTAATTAAGGCCCCTCTATTAATGTCATGCTGTGGCTAGTGACACGAGATCGTTGCGAGGACCGGCCCTTTGGTTCCTAAATACACATACCCAGACCCCCAAGGAGGATCCCCAAAAGTAGATCCCTTAATGGGGGTTCCTATAAAGTAGCCTTAGTAGTATAGGGCCCCAAATTAAGAGATCTACTTTCTAGATCCTCCCGGGGTCTGGGGAGCTGAACTCGACAGGGCATCTAGACAAAGTACATCTAACCCTGACAGACCTGCGGCCTGCACCCAAACCCCAAACTCTTAACCTAAAGCCCCACACCCTAAACCCTAAAACCCCAAACCCTACACCCTAAACCCCAAACCCTAAACCCTAAAATCCTAACCCCTAAACCCCCAAACCCCAAACTCTAAACGGCTAATTCGTGAGGCCGAGGAGCTTCTTCTCCCACGGGACGTGGAGGAGGCCTTGGGGCCTTCTACAAAACTACTTTAAAAGGGCTCTTTAAAGGGACCTTTAGGGTTTCTTAAACGGATCTATGGGGTTTAGGGTTTAGGGTCTACTTAGAGGATCATGGGACTTAGTAACTAGGGTTATGATTGGGGTATCTCTACTTATAACTACTTATAACTTATAACCCCAATTAAGGTACTTTTAACCTTACTTACTAAGTCCCATGATCCTCCAAGTACTGTTCATGATAAAGGGGTCAAATGATGCATCCCGAAACCCTAAACCCTGCTTTTGTGCTTGGGCGTCGTGCGTACCTTTTGAGGTATTTCGTTACCTTAAGGACCCTGAACTATGGGAATTATTGTAGTTTCCTTACTATGGGCAATGCAGGATTTAAATCGTCAACCGAATTTCGTAACTATATGGGAGTTTCCGAAAATTACCTCGTTTTGGGGTCAGTATAACAAGGATCCTACTATTTAGGGTACTATCTTAGGGTCCCTATTTTGGGAAACTTCTGTATATGTATATATTCAATATGTGTAAGTATGGATGTGTTGGTGGGGAAGAGATTATGCATGCATGCATGCATGCATGCATGTAATTAGACATGAATGTGGGTATGTATGTATGTAATCATGCCTGCACGTATGTCTGTATGCATGTATGCATATAGAAGAAGCAGTTTGTGTTAAATGGGGTATGCGGCGCAATGTCGAGGGATCAAGGTGCGGATGTTCATGCTTGGGGTTTAAGGGCTTGGGTCTTTGGGTTTGCAGCTGCCAGCTGCTGTTGATGGGTCAGTGAGGTCTCGCAAGCGAAACGAGGCCAAGGAGAACCCAAAGCAGCACCTCCTGTTCTGGGGGCGTTCCTAAACTTTAAAGCCGTATATCCTAAACGGCGAACTACGGAAGCCAGTGTGCTGCTCTACTCGGAGGTTCATGGGTAGTAATAAGTGGGGTTATAAGTCCCATGAAGATTATAACTACAACCCTGCGTACAACTGCCCATGAACCTACCCTTATGGAAGCCTTATAGATCCCTTTAAAGGAACCCTAGAAGCCCGACTGATAATTACCCATAAGCCATAAACTCTTACAGAATCCCTATAGATCCCTTTAAAGGGACCCTTAAATTTCACCCGTAAACCCTACCATGAGCCTCCAAGTACACAGAGTGCAGCAGGCGAAGGTGTAACACATTCGCGCTGCCGAGGCTTCGGGGCTTAGTGTAGGCTAGTAGGGGCCTAAATAATTTTAGGGCTTTAAGGTTTAAGGTTTTAGGGTTTAGGGTTTTAGGGTTTAGGGTTTAGGGTTTTAGGGTTTAGGGTTTAGGGTTTAGGGTTGGGCTAGTAGGGGCCTAAATAATTAGAGCAGGGTTCCTTTAAAGGGGATCCTTAAAGGGTCCGTTAAGGGATCTATAGCAGGGGTTTATGGTATAGAGGCCTAAATAGTTGGAAGAGGGTTCCTTTTAAAGGGTTCTTAAACGGGTCCTGTTAGGGTTACTAGAAGGGGTCTTATAGAATGATCCCAACCTCTACACCCTAAACGCGCGCTGCTGGGAGACTCTTCGGCTGGCAAAGCAGGATCCTCATGCACTTGCGCAGCGCTCAGCTGTCTGTGCATTACTGGGGGGGGGTGGGGAGGGGAGGGGGGTGGATCACATAGTGTGTGGGGGTCGAGGGTTCAAGAGGGATCTATACGAAATAAGGGCTACCTTATTTGGGGGTCCTTATAATAAGGATCCTACTATTTCGGGTACTTTATTAGGGTCCCCTACTTTCGGAGACTCCCATATGGAGTGACCGTCTGGTGACGGGCAGGTGACCCGCACCTGCTCTCGACAAGCTTGTGGCCTTGTCTTGATAAGTTGTTTTGTATTCGTTTTATAGATGATACAACTGGGGTCTTTTATCCGCGCTTTTCAATCGGGGGGCATCTCAATGGATATGTCCACGAGGTACGCGTACCTGCTGGGTACGGAGCTACAGCTACAGGCTTCATTCCACAGCGTTTCTTTATAGATTATAGTGTGAAGTCGCAGAATCGGCTAATCTAGTAAATCCGAAGGCGTGAATGCCCCCTAGCCGCTTCCGAGATTATCAAACCATGCTGGCTCATAAGCAGCAGAGTAAAACATGCAAAAGCAGTTGCCCTGGTTCTTGCCAACAAAAATTCTAAACCCTGAACCTTAACCCTTAACCTCCCGTAAACCCGAAACCCCAAACCCTGAACCTTTAACCCGCAACCCTAAGCCCTAAACCATAACCCGAAACTTGCCTTGAACCCTGAACCCTGAACCCCAAACTGCAAACCCGAAGCCCTAAACCTTATAAACCCTGCTTGGAGGATCATGGGACTTAGCAAGTAAGGTTATAAGTACCTTAGTTGGAGTTACAAGTAGCTATAAGTAGAGTTACCATATTTATAACCCTAGTTACTAAGTCCCATGATCCTTCACGTAGACCCTAAACCTTAAACCCCATAGACCCCTTTAAGAAACCCTTATAGATCCTTTTAAATAGCCCTTTAAGAACCCTTACTAAGTCCCATGATCCTTCAAGTAACCTGTGGGTTTCTCAGGTAGTCCAAGGCGACCCGATGGGCTGGCCAATGAGTCGGTGTAAGACACACTCGATCCACAGGACTCCGTAACCCTACGGTTGATGATATAAATCCTGCATTACCCATAATAAGGAGTATACCATAATTCCCATAGTTTAGGGTCCTTAAGGTACTGCTGGATTTGTATCATCAACAGCAGGGATCTAAGGACTCATACCATAAGGCTTTTGGGCCCAAAGACCCTGCTATAGAAGGCATTTGGGCTATTTTGATCACTAGGGTAAGAAAGCTGGTTTAGGGATAAGGGTTTAGGGTTTTAGGGTCCAGGGTTTAGGGTTTAAAGGGCATAGGTTTAGGGTTTAGGGCTAATTTAGGATTCATGGTTTAGGGACCTCGACCCCCAAAGTTTAGGGTTTAGGGTTTAGGGTTTAGGGTTCCTTTGATAGGTGCTTGGCCTTTACCTGCTGTTTTGGCGGTGTAGGGACTCTGCAAGAAAGATCGCTGAGGATTTGGGGCCAGGGTTTGGACTTATGGTTAAGGTTCGAGGGTTAAGTTTGGATGCAGGAAAGCTGTAGGATATGTGTATATATATACATATCCGTACATACATACATGCATAGATATAGATATGAGTGTATATAACTGTATGTATATGTACAATGTGCAAATTGAAATTTGTTTTGGACACGTTTGTTGACGTTGTGCACGGGGTGCGGGGCGGATGAGGGACTTAGGAGTTTTCGGCATTCGTTGTTCGGGGCAGACGAGAGGTCCCTATCAGGGATTGCTGAAGCCTGACACAAGGTTCTAGACTTCAGGGTGTTTAGGGTGTAATTAAGGGCCAACGACTCGATAATCCAAAATTAGTGGGAGTTCAGAGTGGTTTAGGGTTTAGGGTTTAGGGTTTAGGGTTTGTTCGGCTTCAAAACCTATGGGTCGAGGCGAAGTGAAGGGTCGGGGTTAGCTTTGAGGTCGGAGTTTTGGTTGAGCGTTGAACTTTGCATGCAGGATGGGTCCCCTAAACTCTAAGCCATCCTAAATCCAAAGCTCTAACTGCGGTTGCTTGGAGGGCATATATATATATATATATATACATACACATACACAAATACACATATACACACATACATATGTGTGTATATATATATATATATATATGTATATATGTATGTAAACATGTGTGTATATATATATATATATATATATATATATATATATATATATATATATATATATGTATGCATAAACATACATGCAGTAATACAGTGGAGGCTCGTGTTTAGCGTGGGATGTGGAATGAGCAGATGCGGGCACGGCCAAGATTTAACGGCGTGTGGCATGGAGAAGTCAGCAATCCACAAGGAATCCTCATTCCAAACTCTAAGAAGATGGTAAACCCTCACCCTGGCAGGATTCTACCCATGGATCCCGTGTCTCTGCAGCTGAGGCTTTGGGTGGTCAGGGCAGATGGGTTTTGGGTTTACCTTGGAGAAACCCTCAACCCCAAACCCTAAACCCTACACCCTAAACCCGAAACCCCTAAACCTCCTAAACCCTAAACCCCTAAACCCTCAACCTCTAAACCCTGAACCCCAAACCCTTTAGCCCTAAACCCTAAACCCTGAATGACACACAGCTTCTTGGAGCAGGGTGGTCAAAGCTCAGGGGGTTCAGAGACCGAGGGCTTAGGGTCTACTTGGACTCTCACCCAACCTACCCCTTTAAGGACCTTTATGGGAGTTTCCAAAAGTGGGGGTACCTTATTTAGGGGTCCTGATATGAAGGATCCTACTATTTAGTGTACTTTAGGGTCCCCCATTTTCGGAAACTGCCATATGAGTTAAGAAGCGCTAAACAGGTATGTTCTGTAGGTAGGCTGGAGGGTTTCTGCAGGCCGCAACATTTATGCAATAGGCCGACCCTCGGCAATGAATCCGAAACCTAAAACGGTGTTCGACACTAAACTTCTTCAGTACTCAAGTCAAGATTGCACTCCCGCTCGCCTGCAACCAAGAAATGAGAGATGAAAGAACTCCACGGCATCAACCACACAGTGGCCTAAAATATTGGAAGGCTTCCGCCTGAGCCCTGGACCCCAGGTTTGAAAACACAAATCCGAAAATAAAAGACGCCCTAAACCAAAATGTCGTTTTGGATTTGGGTTTTCAGGACCGTGCATTCTGGAGTCTGTAGGATATGCTGTGTTGGCCTTGGGGCAGGAACCTCAAGAAATGAATGCTAAATCCTTGTGCCTACGCAGCTCCGTAACCCCCAAACAAATACTAGGCCGAAAGCGCTTACGATTTTGGCTCATAGACATAGAAGCGGGAGCTTAGTAACAAAATGCCCTTACACTCCCGATATAAATATAAATACACTCTCATTTATCCCCGAACCCTTTATGAAAGCCCTAAGCCCTCAATCCCTGCTTTTGGCTAGACCTCTGGCGCTGCCTCCAAGCATTGCGGGTTTCGCTCGGGCCTTAGGTAGACTTCACTGAGGGTTTAGGGTTCAGGCAGGGCTCGCAGACTAAATGTTCTGTCCATCATTCGGGGTTCCATTTGTTTGCACGATCCCATTATTCTCGGCGCTAGTATTGGGTCTATTAGTAGTGCGATTTCCCACACCTCAATATGCTGCCACGCCCCGATCCGACCACCTAAACCCTAAACCCTTTCGGTGCATGTGGCAGAGACCAGGGTAGTTGTAACAATCCTTCTTTCTGTGGGCGGTCGTGAGAGGTAGCTGCTACCCATAGAACCCATAGTAGTTCCTTTTTAGGGGTTCATATTTGCCAATAGTCCCTCTTTTGGGTTTAGCCAAATATATGATAAGGATCCTATAAGGCAACCCCAAAAAGCAACTACAATGGAGACTACAGGTAGAATCCTATAAGGTAATCCCAAAAAGGAACTAGTATATAGAGCTCAGAACTCCTCCCCAATCCCAGGCCCTAAGTTGAACGGCAAAACTCCCAGCGCCGCTGATGTAACATAGGGGGTTATAAGTGGGAGTTTCCGAAAATTAGGGGGACCTCGTTTTGGGGTACTTATAATAAGGATCCTACTATTTAGGGTACTATTTTAGGGTCCCCTGTTTTCGGAAACTCCCAAATGTGTAGTGACAAAAGCACTACAAAGGGCACATACTTGCAATCGTGATAATTACTGACAAAAACACTACGAAGGGCACGTACTTACAATCGTAATCATTACTGACAAAAACACTACGAAGGGCACATACTTACAATCATAATCATCCGCAGGGCAATAAACCACGCCTATTAGCAGCAGCAGCAGCAGCAGCAGAAGCAGCAGCAGCAGCAGTGACTATGGGGTTTCACTGCTCCAGGTTTTGCTTGTACCCTGAGCCTAGAGGGGGGGAGAGTTGCTCAAAGCTGGGGGTTGGCGTTCTGAGTCCGCAGAACCGTACACCCCTAAACACTAAACCTTAAACCCTACACACTATACCCTAAGCCCTAGACCCCTAATCCCGAAACCCTAAACCCTAAACCCATAACCCCGAAACCCTAACCCCCCCCCCGAAACCCTAAACCCTAAACCCCTAAACCCCTGTCCCCGAAACCCTAAACCCCTAACCCCGAAGCCCTAAACCCTAAACCCCTAACCCCGAAGCCCTAAACCCTAAACCCCTAACCCCGAAACCCTAATCCCCAAACCCCTAACCCCGAAACCCTAATCCCTAAACCCACCCTAAACCCTCAAACAAAAAAAAAACCCTCACCCCGAAGCCCTAATACCATTAGTTCTTCAGGGTCTCACGTCCACAACTAGGACCCAGAGTAGGCCCTTATTCCCTTTTTAGGGTTTAGATTCCCTTATAAACCTACTTTAAGCCAAAAAGGGCACCCTTTTTATTCATAAACCCTAAACCCTAAACCCTAAACCCTAAACCCTAAATCCTAAACCCTAAACCCCTAAGCCCAAAGGCTTTTAGTGTCAGTTCGTTGGTCTCCAGCTTGGGTCTTCGGGCGGCTTCCGGGTTAAAAGCTTGGTTTCTTTAAAGGGATCTATAAGGCTTCCTTGAAGGGATCTATTTAAGGCTTCCTTAAAGGGCTCTATAAGGGTTCCTTAGATGGGTCTATAATAGGGTTTGGGGGTTTCGGGGTTCAGGGGTGTAGGGGTTTAGGGTTAAGGGCTTTAGGGTTCAGAGTTTAGGGCTTAGGATTGGGGCGGTGGTGCTTGAGGTTTCAAGTTGAGTGTTGTTTTCGGGGCTGTCCGATGAACTGTCCCCGTCTAAGCCCCAAACGCTAAGCCCGAACCCTGAACCCCAAAACCTAAATCCTCAACGCGCATCCCAAACTCCTGCAAGTTCACAAGCGGATCCTAAACCCTGAACATCTCGATCGTTCTGGCGACGTCTGAGGATCCTCCAAAGCGAGTCCACCGCAGCTTCACGCAGTTCCGGCAGTTCATCGAGTGCTCCCCATGCCTTACATACTCTGCTACTTCGATGTGGAGGGTTTTGTCCTTCTAAACCCTAAACCCTAAACCGTGGTATCCTGTTGATCACTGAATGGTCTAATTATAAAGCCAGGGCACAGTCCAAAGACCACCGCGAGCGAGCTTGAGGGATCCGGCAGCTTTGTAGCCCATAGCTCCTACATCCCTTAATTTATAAGGAATAGACCTTCAATTTTAATAGAATCCCTAATCTGATTTTAGATGTATTCCTAAATTTAAGGATTATTAACTATAATCGGACCCCTAATATGATTCCATAGGATTATTCCTTAATTAGGGCTTCCAAACATCGCGAAACACCAACTAGGATCTTCCTCTGGCCTAAACGTTATATCCTACCCCATGCCCTAAACCACATGCTGAACCCTAAACGGTTGAGGTTTCGGGACCCTAAACCATACCTTCACCCTGAAGAGTCTAGCTTTTTGAGGGCTTATATAAGGAAATCATAATAGGGAACCTTAAAAGGTAGGTTATTCAGGGTTAAGATAAGCCCTCAACTTCAAGAAGCCCTCGCTGCCCAAAACTTCCCTCGTCTCAAGACCTTCTTACCCAAAGGGTCTTATGTACCGATATAGTAGAATGTAGGGTTTCCATATTAGGAATTACTACTGTGACTTAGGGATCCCCGATAACAGTACATAGGACCCTTTGGGTAAGCCCACCAAAGTTAGCCCCACCATGTGGGCCAAGGCTGCGTCTCCAAATCCACACCTGTTGAAACTTCCGTAATAAGGGATTTGTACGGTTTAGGGTTTAGGGTTTAGGGTTTAGGGTTTAGGGTTTAGGGTTTAGGGTTTAGGGTTTAGGGTTTAGGGTTCTCGGGTTCTGAACTCGAAGTAGCAGTCCAGTACTTGGAGGATCATGGGACTTAGTAAGGTTATAAGTACGTTTAGTGGGGTCATAAGTATGTATAAGTAGAGTTACCCTAATTATAACCCTGTAGTTACTAAGTCCCATGATCCTTTAAGTACTAGCAGGCGCGCAGTCAGGAAGTCGTCGAGCCCCTCCAAGCGCAAACCTCTCCTTCATCTGAAATTTCCAAAGGGTCCAAAGTACCTATGTGGTAGAATGTGGGGTTTCTATATTAGGAGTTACTATTATGATTTGGGGAAGTATCCCCCAAAAGAGTACCTAGGACCCTTTGGGATTGTCCGAGGCTCGAACCCCCAAGCTGTGAGGTACCCGGCCTTGACACAGCTGCAGATGCAGGAGGGCTAGCAACGTAAACTTTTTGGGTCATGTTGTTGCATTTGTAGTTTCTGATTTCGTGGCTACTGTTAGGACTAGCCCGTAAAATCCCAAGCCCAAACGTAGCTCCTGTTGCAAGCAGAGCACCGTCCAGAATTTCATGTTGCGGTTCTACCTTTGAGATCGACAGTTGCAGCCGCACATGGCTTTTGTTCTCATGTCTCCGTTGCACGGGCCTCATTCCTCCTTGCCCTCTGCTGCGGTCGGAAGTAGATGTGTGCATGGGCAGAGTTGCTCTTGGAAGTAAGACCGTCGACGTCCGGACTCCGTAGTGTTAGTGCTGAAGGGCCGCTTTCAGACTTGAGCGGTTTGGGCTTGTGTACATAGATGCAAGTCTGCATTTTGGCTAGCGACTGTTGTATCCTGAACCCTGGGCTCTAAACCCTATTATAGCTCAGAAGCTCTTGCGTTTATCGGAGAGGGCGGCGTTTGTCCTGCAGGATCATAGTACGCAGCATGAGCAGCTGCAGCTCAAATGTGCTAATCAAGGTACTGTAGGCATACTGCATAATTGGAATGGCTGTTGAAGTACAAGTAAGCTTTCTGACATACTTGACGCTTCACCGGGTATGTGCTAAGGGCCTTCACGATGGTTCTCCTGCGCTGCCACTAGCTCCATGGCTTCTCTCTTCACCGGGTCATCTTAATGGTAGCCTCGTATGCATAGTATGTTTAATTACTCTACATCATGCATTGTATTATATTGCCTCATGCCCACCTGAAAGCAGCAATCATGCAACCAAGCTTCCCAGTTGAACACGAAAACGCCGGAAACCCTCCAAACCCAGAGTTTCGACACCTTTACAAAAGCTGTCCCTAACCAAAGACACACAGTCAAAGATCCCTCAGTCGGAAAGCTTGTCAACATCTCAAACCAAACCCAGGCCTCTAAATCTTCACCCTTGGATTTGTGTTGTTTTGAGATCTCGAGCCCTCACACAGCAACCTTCATGTAACCCTTTTAAAGAGCCCTTGTGGAAACCCTATTCTCATCATTCTAAGGGAGTTTCCGAAAATAGGGGACCCCAATATATATGTATATATATATATATATATATATATAGTACCATAAATAGTAGGATCCTTATTATAAGGACCCCAAAACAAGGTACCTCTAATTTTCGGGAACTCTAAGCCCTTACAGAGCCTGAAAAGGAACCCTTATAGTATCCCTAAGGAACTCATAGGTACCCTTAATCTTCGGGAACTCCCATAACGGGATCCCAGCCCTGACGCCATGATCCACTTTCTTGCGGCATCGATGGCGGCTCTGACCGTGGCCGCTTCCGAGATCTTCGACACGCAAGCATGCGAACGGGTCCTTAGAGCTTGCATCGTCGGAGTAGGCGTAAGAGTAGGGATAGGGGTAGGAGTTCAGGAGTGGGAATGGGAGTGGAGTAGGAGTTGTAGTAGTAGGAGTTGTAGTGGGAGTAGTAGTAGTAGTAGTAGCAGCAGCAGCAGTAGTAGTAGTCGTGGTAGTAGTAGTAGTAGCAGTAGTACTTAGTAGCAGCAGCATCAGTGTAGTAGAGCAGTTGTAGTTACATGCAGGCACAAAGGGAAGAGGCTCGGGTTTAGGGTTTAGGGTTTAGTTGTGGCGGTTGAAGTTCCAGGGCTCATAGTAGCAGCTGCGAGGTGCCTCCACCCAAAAACACATGGGTGGTTGTCAAAATTATGGTCCCTTGTCGGGTCCCTATTATAATACGGCACCTAACATTTAAGGGACCCCAAAAGGGACCCTAGTTTTGACAACTACCCACATCCGTTACTTTGAATCGGTGCAATGATTGTGTCACCAGAACCACTTTGGTCGCACGCTGTCCTGTTGGCCGCAGCCGCCACCAGTCACGAGTGGCTTGTGATAGCTGAAGTGCCATGTTCTGCAACAGCATTGTAAAGTCTGCATGGCTTGCAGGATAGCATTGCGGATGGCATCTCCAAATCTCCATCTGCAAGATTCAGCAAGCACTCAGCACCCCCAGCTTCAACGCTCTGAGCTAGCTGCAGATCTGAATGTGAACATTGAAGTCCAGCACCAGTTCAAAACAAGAAACAGTATACCCGAATATACGACCCTGAACCCGGCCTGAGCGCTAGACCCTAGATGGGGCTCTTTCGGTAAGGACTGTCCCCGTGGAGCCACCCGAGTCGACGAGCACCGTCTTACCCACAGATGCGCCGCAGGGCAAGGCGAAAGAGGGGGCCGGGATAGAGGAGTCTTGGTGTTGTGGCTTTTCTGGCTTAAGGTGCGGGGTTGTGGGGTTCAAGCTTTGTTTGGCTGGCGGTTTAGGGTTTAGGTGTTAGTAAGCTTATGGCGGTTGAGAGTTGAGAGTTAGAGTTTTTTGGGTTCGGCCCACGTAGCAGATTGAGGTGTGGTGTCTGGAGGCCGAAAAGTGCTATAGCTGAACTTGCATTTGGTGAACGAAGTTCGAAACCCATGACAAGTGGAGACTACGAGAGACAAAGAGGACTTGCCACTAGCCCATCAAAGCCCCAACAAACTCGAAACCCCGAACCCCCAAACAACCTTCAAAGCACGAAGCACTACTTGGAGGTTCAAGGGTAGTTATAAGTAGGGTTATGAGTAGGATAACTATGGTTGTAACCTATTTTAGGGGACTTATAACCCTACTTATAACTACCCATGAACCTCCAAGTAGACCCTAAACCCTATACCCTTATAGAACCCCTATAGTTCCCTTTAAAGGGACCCATGAACCTCCAAGTAGACTTCGAACCCCAAGTTTTCCTGCGCTTCCCGTCCATCGAGTCTCGCGGGTCCCGAACTTTTAGGGTTCAGGGTTTAGGGTTTAGGGTTTAGGGTTGAACTGCCTAGTATAGAAACCAGAACAAGAACCTCCGATGTTCCTTGGACTTCCTGTTCTAGCTCTTGTAGAATATACACCAAAACCCTGCTCGAATTATTAAGGCCGCCACAATAAATCATTGACAATTTCTTTGATGAGTGGTTTTCCGGATCATGGACTCGTCTTACGTCGTAAAAACGTGGTATGTTATGAACGAGGTTTCGGAAAGGAGCCTAGTTCAGAGCAGCTTGAGTCAGAAAGCTCTCCGTAGTGATGACTGCAGTGGCGATTCTATAGGGCCTGTAAATCACTGTCTAAGCGTCATCCCCAAAAACTACATTTCCTGCCCCACCACGCAAACCCGAATGCACAACAGCTTCAAGCACAAAGCCCAAGTCAAGGGTCAGCAGTTTCATTCTGGGGATGTGCGTTTTCGGTTTAATCATGTCTCGAAGTGTGCGTAAGCCTCATTTGATGTGTGCGGTCAGATCTTATAGCTTCTTACAGCTTTGAAGCCACTATAGAAGTCTGAAAATCATAGTAATACCGCCGTATAGTCCGAACATAAGTGTATATTATGACAAAGGGCAGTTTCCGAAAATTAGGGGTACCTTGTTTTGGGGTGCTTGGGGTACTACATTAGGGTCGCCTGTTTTCGGAAACTCCCACATACCCAAAGCCAAAGCAACTCCTCTGCCCAGCAGGTGCCTCTTCTCCAGGCCTTGTATGGGGTTTGCTGCTGTAGAGCTTCAGGGATTTTGGATATGAGAATGTACTACACCGGTCTGAATGGTTAGTCAGAATAATCCGTTGTATGGAAATACATTATCATCCCACCCAAAGCCCTAGTCTTACTGACAAGGCCCCCTGTACTAAACTTTTCTAGTAGCCCGTCTAGTAGCCCTTACAGAAACCCTTAAATCTGAAAGGAACCGCGAGCCTTCTTGAAATTATAAAGACCCCTATGTCAGGGCTGTTCAAGCTCTCGAGTCTCGGATGTATGGGTCAAGGGTTTATTTTTTAGGGTTTACAGTAGGGTTTAGGTTTAGGCTCCCAGGGTGGATGGATTCGGGTCTGGGGTTTTGGGCTTCCGGTGTAGGGTTTGGAAGAGATTTCGGACCGTGTCTATAGCCCCGTGCAATTTGATCTCCGACTTTGAAACCTCAACCCTAAAACCTAAAGCCCTAATTTTGCCATGTTCAATCCCGAAACCCAAACTGAGACCCGGAACAGCAAAGCCGAAACCTGCACAACCGAGGCCCTGAATCAGATTCTGCAGTTGTACGGCTATCCCTAGGGATCTCAGGACTCATATATTAATATGGCTTTTAGGCACAAAGACCATACTATGTAAGGCTTTTAGGCTATTTTGATCCCTAGGGTATGGCTTTGCAAGTCGTTTAGGGTCTAGGGTTTGGGGCCCGAGGGTTCGAGGGTTTCGTCTGTATAATCAAGTAAGATGCTCGTCGTTTATCTGGGAGTTTCCGAGAATTAGGGGTACGTTTTTGGGGTCCTTATAATACGGATCTACTATCTGGGGTACTATATTCGGGTCCCCCATTTTCGGAAACTCCCATCTGGGGCTTATGTCTTGCTCCTGTGCGGGATTGGGGGCGTGAGCAGGTGGATATGTTGTATGACACCTTCGAGCACCTTGTCAGCTTGAGATGGCTCTCGTCTTTACATCGGGGTTGTTCAACACTCTCTTTCTGGACGGGCGGCTGTTCAAGCAAGCTGCCATTCAAACCGGCATCTGGATTTCGAACGGCCCTTAGATGGTTCTGATTTGTGCGGTTCGGGAGAAAGCTCGGAGCCGATCCAGAACGCTACCGAAGCTCTTAATACGGTGCGACAAGCAGATGGAACCCATGGTCTCAATCTTGCACTCCCTAGGTTTCTAGCTGTGACTGCGTTCTGTACAGCTGAGTGGGGAAGTTCAAGATGCCAGTTAGACCCGATCAGCAACTTCAACAAGGATGTCTGGGGAGGTGGGGTGTACATAATCTCCGAATCCTAAAACCTAAACCCCGAAATCTCGCCACATGTTTTATCCTCTCTGGACTCTTAAGCCTAAGCTTCCAGATTTTAAGCTCTTGGGCTATGAGCCAGAGGCCCCGCCAGAATTCCAAGATGCACCACGAAGCCACTACTCTTGGGCTGCCCCTA